AATGGGTCATGTAAGATGGTGCAACAAAATGACTGCGAGCTCAACCCTAGATTTGAACTCTGCCAGCGTGGGAGTACATATGACAGATTCCAGTAGGGCATTCCACGTTCTGCAAACTCGTACGGAAAAGCAATTCGGACGGTATTCTAAACGAGTTTGCTACTGTGCCAGCTTGATATAGGGGCCTCTCAAATTGCGCTTAGTGAATGAGCTCTAGCAAATGGCGGCACCTGTGGTTGGGAGCTCTCAAAATATGGTAAGCCAAAATGAGATTTCCGCACAATCGCCGATATTGTCCACTGAAGACCCCAAGCACTCGAATCCTTCGTGCATACGGCAAATTATACAGACCATTGACGTCTCTGGTTGCATGGCGTTGAGATATCTCCACCACGGTGATATCTCTCCTCATCCATGGCTGCAGAAACTGTACTACGTATTCCACAAGTGGTGGTATGTATGAGCCGAGAAATTGTGGAAAAATCGAAGGGTCGATTCGTCCGAGTGCATGGTTCAGGAGGCCCACGTGTTGGACGCCCCTCCTTTAGGCCGCCTCAGTCTGATTCGAACATCCAAGGTCAACCTGGATAAAACTCCCACATCCTTCTTCCCAGAAGACATTTGCAGCTTTGGTTGCCGATTTTGTGAGAATGAACCAACTTGTGCCTCAGACGCAGCACTAAACATTTTTCCAAACTGAATCGAAGTAGATTCTGGACAACGCGGTTTAGCGGTTAAACACTGAAAGCAATACTTGTGGTGAAATGCAGTTCTGAAGAAAAGAGTGTCGTGTATCCTTGCGAACAACTTCACGACATGCTAATGCAGCGCCCAGACCTATGCTCATGAAATCATGGATTACAACATGGCGAAATCATGCCGACCGTTGGCTATTGCCACAATAGTAATAAACTTGCTTTTTTCGCAAACCAGCGCCATAATGTTCTGGGATCCCACTATTAATCCACGAACTTCTTAAGTGAGTAAACGACAAAAATTTTGGTTGTACTTTATTCTAACCACACCTTTTACTGTTCCAAAGCAGCTATGTTTGTAGGTATATTTCGTCGTGCCTTCACTTGTATGCCTCCTTCTAGCGGGAATATGCCATTTATTTATTTATTTATTTAAAACTTCAGTAGCGTAGCCATTGTACTGGCTAATAACGCAAGTGCTTTTTATAATTGCATTGAAGCAAGAAATGTAGATATGTATCTTTTCAATATATGGTACGATCAACATATGCAGAAACAAACGGGGGTAGGTTAAATGTCTCGGTTTGCCGTGCAAGAAATCTGGAAGCGTCTCGGTTTGGCTCATCAATAATCTGGCCACCTTACATGCACCGTACCTAACAGGTGCGTCACCACCGCTGAATCTCACAGTAGAGCATTAGACGTCGCCGTGAAATGCGCCTCAGGTGTTCCAGCAGCGTTGTGTGCAGTTCGCTCGCGGTATCTCATATACACACATATTCACAATAACTGTGAATACATTGGTGAACACCGTTAGTCATCTTATCTACGAAAAGTGTGTATTTCAGATACACCATTGTTGAACAGATCCCAAGTTTTATTCCATGGTTAGTGCCGTCGGAAAGGAAAAGGTAGTTCCTTCTACCTATAATATTCTTATCGTCCCAATCCATTCCGCTGTATATCTTCAATGTGATTTCAGCATATTGTGAAACGTGGCTTTCACTACCGGTTTCGGGTGTCCACTATCCAGGAATTATCTTACTGTCTATTTCCTTCTCTGTGCACATGGCATTATCTGTGAAACACAGAGATCGGAATTGTAGTACTGTGTCCCATCTGTGTCAGTCGGTTGACGATATATCGGTTCGGAAGCTAATCATTCTTGCAAACTGAGCAGTCAAGGAATGGCGATGTGCTACTCTATGGTGGGCGATTTCCAATTCCTCACAAACTAGCTTTTCTTATCCACTTTTGTGTTCAAAATGTGCCATCCACTTGATACCAACAACTTTTGGCCATTTACTGGAGTTTGCCAGTACTATGTACAACATAGTGGACATTGGCGATCTAATGATAACATCATGTTCTCCAGTGCCTACTTCCGACTGAAACCCGAGCTAGAACAACATACCGCGCAATGTCACTGTCGGTTGTCTCAACCAACTTAATTTTCGGTCACTCCCTAGGTTAATCTCTTCAGTCAAACGGTGTTTCACCCTACCCAGTGCAATCGATACTGTCTCGTAGTAGAGTTGATTTCATGTCTGGTCGTCTGCGGGTAACAGTGAGCACGCGGATGGCCGCCCACTTCTGCGTTGTGTGTCTTGTTGCCGCGTAAGTGAGTGGGTGGAAGTTACAGTACTTCCTCAACCGTCCATAGATGCCGCGTGCTAGTCCGCACCCATCCTACAGTGAATGAGCTCACGTGTTGTTTTCGCGTTCACTGTGCCTCACGTGGTTTGTTGGCTGAGCGCTGCACCAACCGATGCAGATGTTCTGAGTACACTTGTACTGATTTGCAATTGGTCAAGACGATGGATTCAGCTTGATGTGGTTAGAAATTGGGTTGAATATTCTTAAGGAGGAGCTTGATTCCGTTAAGGACTGGCTTGCTTCCGAAAAGGTATAGTCTGTGAGACAACCATCCGTATGTTGCTGTTTGCTGACGACTGTGCGTTGTTTGCACACAGCGCGGATGAGTTGCAGCACATGCCTAGTGCTCTGGCTTCGACAGCGGCCAAATTCGGGCTCACCATCAACGCAAGCAAGACTGTTTGTCTTTTTCAGCCTTCAACAAGAATGGAGTCCGTGGGCCTGCCCCAAATCCAGATTGCCGAGGAAGTGTTGGAAACCACTTCGAGATTTTTCTACCTTGGTAGCATAATAACAACCGAGCAGCAGATGACGTACGAGCCGCACAGCCGCGTATTGAAGGCGGGTGCTGCTTTCGGGAAGCTGGAATGTCGGGTGTGGAACAACCACCAGCTCACCGTTGGCACAAAGCTGCTGGTGCATAAGTCCATGGTGATGTCCGTTCTTCTATACAGCAGCGAAACCTGGACGCTTTATCGGAAGGGTGTCAGATATCTGGAGCGCTTTCATCAGCAGTGTCTGCGCCGTATTATGCACATCGGCTGGAGTGACCGAGTTGCAGACACGGAAGTACTCTGCCGCAGTGGTATGTATGCAGTGGACTGCATAATTCTGCTGAACCACCTGAGGTGGATCAGTCATGTGAGCCGTATGAATTCCCTGCAGATACCGAAACAACTCTTATACGGTTAGCTGAGTATTGGGAAGCGGCATATGGGGAAACTAAAGTTACGTTACCAGGACATGATCAAAGTGAGCCTCTCACGTTCTAATCTTGATTGCAGGTTATGGGAATCGAAGGCGGTTGATCGGCGTGCATGGCGCGATCTGATCACGAAGACAGGTGCCGAGGTGCAAGAGAAAGCCTTCGTGCATGCAGAGAAGAAGCTACAAGTGTAGAAACGACAGGCGCCGACGGAGTGTACTCCATCGGCGTCGAGCGCATGGTGATGTAGCACGTGCGGTCGCGAGTGCCTGAGTCAGGCAGGCCTAGTGAGCCACGAGCGAGGCCACTCGGGTCCAGCATCGAAACGACGACGAGTCCCGCTGAAAACGTAGGCAGAACCGGCGTAGCGCTTATAGGTACACTGAATTCCATTTACTAACCGCGTGCTTGCATGCTAAGTTTCTTTATTTCAGGTGGTGGGTTTGCGACCTAGTCTTAGTTTTATTTCCTTACCTCATTTTAACGTGTACCTGAATAATCTATTAAATAGCACACTTCGCTTAAACTAGAGGTGGTTAACTTCAATTATTTTTATCTCCTTCTTAGATAAGTCTCTCGATCCCTTTTTCTGCCATCCAGAATCTATCACGGCTATTTTGATAATCCATTTATTTCATGCGCTAATTTAGCGGCATATCCGTATGGTGTATTCGATCTATTTTATACATTTCATTTCGTGTGATTGGCTGTTGTTTGACATCCCCGGTGTGGCTGCGCTTGATGTGAATGTTGACAAGGTGCATACCTGTCTATTAGCCACTATCTTATCCATATTGGCTCCAGGAGACAGTTGGTCGTTGCTGGAGGGGACGGGGTGCACGGTCGTTGTGGCCGTGCTAGGCTCGAAGATCGGACTACGGTCCAGCCACCGCCTTGTTTGCGCTTGATTCCCCAAATACAGCGTGCTTGTGTTTGCCTGTGAAGGAGTGTGGGCCGGCTCCGTTGATGAAACGTGGCTCCCATCCAAATGCCTCCCGGTCTTATTCCTCCGGGTTTACACTGAATATAGGGTGTGTGGTTGGAGCTGTGAATAGTGCAGCGCAAGCTACTCATGGTCCCTCTGTAGGCGCAGGCGTCCTGTGGCTCGCCACAGTTATATGCAAATCCGAAACCGGATGCCGCCAACCTTAGTTATCGCGATCCAACTTTGCTTTTTTGAATCATTGGATACGCATCATTCAAGGTTCGACCGGTGAACGTTACAGTGAGAGATCCATCATTGGTGGTTAAGTGTATCTTATGACCTTTCAGGTGCTTTGGTCATTTCACAGAATTCCTTAGAACTTAGTGACGGCACCTGATAACCGGTACGACTGCGCGGCACGCCGTGAAGACAGACACCGAACTGGGTTAGTGTGGCATAAGTCAGTGAAGAAAGCCTACATCATTGTTTAGTGTCCGTACATACATGGTGATCGTTGCAAAATGGTGTGATTTGCATAGGCAACATTGTATACTGGACTAGGGAGGCAGAAAATCGCTAACACACATAGATGAATAATAGGACGTGTGGGCGTTGCTATAATAAAAGAACAAAGGTGAGATCGATCTGACAGAGTATGTTAGATCTCTGCACAATGGGTTACCGACGATCCGAATTGCAAAGGGGTGCGTAAGAAGCATGGGCAAGGCATGAGGGTCTAGCGAATGAGCATCATGAGAAGCAGTCGGATGGTCTGAACACATTGGTAGCGAAGACTCACCTCGAGGTCAACAGCCAGACACCAGGAGGAATCAAGTCCGATAGATAAATGTGTGATTGATGAGGGAACCTCATCCAGATGTTTGAAAACGGATAGTCGTGTCAATGCAGCCAACACTTCTGATTCGTCTGTGGCATTATGATTGTGCAGTTGCAACAGAAACAATGCCTGTCCACTCGTTTGTTCAGTAGGCCGACGGCGCAACAACAGTCGCCACGAATTCGCAGTGGAGGCAGCCTCTAGCAAGTTGGACATATGCTGGGACTTGAAAGACAAATTGTCGACAGCATCGAGAAAAGTGAACTGAAACACCAAAAGAAGCATGCGTTGATTGTAATAGTAAACACCCCGTAGATTATTGGCAAGGTGACTGAAAAATCAAAACAGTGTACGTACAGATCACATGAAGTTCAATTACATTGGGGCAGTGAAAACGTCGCAATGGGTGTGGAGTGTTAGTTTTTCGCCCACTCAGCTCAAATTTAAAGGCGCACAAATGGTCTTCACTTTACGTGTGTCAGAAGAACCAAGAATGGTGATATCAGAATACAAAGAGGGATGAATGCCAAGTGAACATAACGGACGAAACCGGCCAATAGCCGGAAGTAGACGAAGGTAAGCGAACTGCGGAAAAAATAAAGAAGGATATTGGAATGCGAATCAGCTACCCTATGCTGACGCAACCAACCCTGATGGTCATCTGTGTCGTGCAACCTGATCAATCACCAGAGACAACAGCAGCGGAATTTGACTTTGGAACTGAATCGCATGCCCTCTGGCTCCGCCAACTGCGGAGCAGCTGACCCAACACCTCTGCACATCCACCTTCAGTGACCGTACAGCACATATGGTCCAACTGTCAATGGCAGCCTAAATCGGCACTGACATTGGATCCAGGGGTTGCTGCGCCGCATCGCCACTATCTCATTCACCTGTTCACCGACATGGCGCGGATGTCTATGACACGGGATACAAATGCAATTCCATGGTGCAAAATATAAATTCAATATGCTTAATACAGGTCGAGAACTCGTGCTTTCAAAACGGCTTGAAAATAATCAGTTAGTAGATTCAGGAGGCAACGTTTGGCTTCCGATGCAAAAGCAACGTCAGCCCAAGTGAATCAACGGATGATTGAAGCAGGATTTATATCGAACCGGGAAGATAATCGCGACGAGCGAGATGTAGGTAAGAGGGTAATCGCGTTGCAGATCAAATCATCGAGGAGGCTTCGGTGTTGGGACAAAGCAGCATCGAAAGTGTGCGATCCAAATGACCGACGTGTACTTCAAAGCGAACCGAAGTCAAAATAGGAAGTTGCGCGTCGCAATCCAATCAGACGGTGGATAGTCTAAAGCCCAAATTCGAGGTTAAAGTGTCATTTCAAGTGGTACATTGAGAATAGAAAGGTTTAAAATGTTTCCGGTTCCGAGGTGGTCACCTCGGAAGTCAGTGATGGGGGTGAGAGTAATTTGTGTTCGCTCTTTGTCCCACATCTGTCGGCCGACGTACCTCAAGTTGTCCGGGTTAAGATAGTCCACCACATATTCGATAAATTCTACCTTGTTTGCTCTGTTCACACAGCTGGTGGTTTTCGCGATTTACACTGCCCCAGTAATCAACGTTTGAGATGTTGATAGTAACCCTTTCCAGTGATCTCGACGTTATGTAATCGACTTCATACCTTGTGTGAAGCACGTGCACTGCTACCGCCAGTTCCTTGACCGCAGTGCTACATGCCTCTTGTCAGATGGAACATTAGACTCTACTGGAAAAACGCCTCTCTTTCCTCTTGTACCCTCTGGATGGCATACGCAGTTTTCTACATGGAATGCATACAGTAATTATTTGCTGGTTCACTTCACCTGATGAAACTTTCGTGTCAAAAGCGAAACGTTGCCCAACAAATATACCAATCGATAATTTCAAGCCTTTGTGAGGCCAAGGATCTCCACAGAACATCTCTCTCACTTTCACTCCCAGGCTCTATCTAATGGTCCGTGCCAGAAAGCTTGTAAAGTCCAGAAGGACTTTGATTACCTGTACCAGATGGATTAGTCCCTGTTGAAGCCTCAGTGCGCCAATTCCTACCCTTTCCACCTTCCGAACTAATGACACGCTTTTCGCGCTTTAGACCGCTACATGCTCAAAGGAGAATCGCTATCCAATCACCGCATTTGTATGCTCTTTTCTCAAGGTCACGCTTGCGTCAGTCTGGATTATATGTTTCCGCCTCTTGACCGCACGCCGCAAACCTATTCTCGAGTTCTGTCATGTAGATTATTTTACCCTTTAGAACCACATTTACAAGATTATGGTACAAATACAACTATCAAAACTGTCCTTTTTACCCAGACCGTGTGTATACTCTGGGTTTATAGCCTGAAGTAGTATTATTTATATACATTTTGTGCGACGTAATTCGATTTAGCGTAGTTCCGTCGCTATACGCTGTCACAGATTAAGCTTTGACTCCTCCTAGGTGGCTAGCTACTGTAGGCGGAATTTCGCTTCGTAAGTTGCTACGGATTCTATTAGCGAAAAAACGCCACACTCGTGAGAAATTGACACCGCAACTTGGTTGATCCTATTGAAGTTCCTAGCTCTTCAATTTGAAAATATCCTGAATTATCAAGCGCGTGTTTTCGTTGCTCAACGAGTAAAAATGCCCTAAAGCGTGCCAGATGATGGTTTCGCCAGTAGAGACACCATTATAAAGTGATCCAAACCATAGCGAAATATCGCCCGAGCTAACATGAGGACATGGTGAATGTGAGAGGCTGTTTGCCAGTAGTCCGGGCGTCCGTCGGGTTTGGGTTCGTGGATAGCACGCAAAGATCGATACACGAATGGCAGCATCCTCGCGAAAAGCAGCTCAAATTGGAACTAACAAGTGTGCTGACCGGGTGGATCAGCGCAGTGAACAGACATTCCTAGACTAAGTCACACTCCAGCGTCCCAAGCTCAGACTGAATCTGGAGTTCACGGGTATTTCACAGTTCTCTGACAGTTCCTTCACTTATTGAAGACTCTAACTGCGGCCCCATACAAGATTCGGTAACTAATGGCTTTCTCCAGCTGACTGATAACAAACATAAGTATTCGCAGTGCGGGGTGAACGAAAGCGCCAATCAACGAACGCATCGCTACTCTATATACAAGACCGTAGTTTGTACGACATCATGCCACTTCATTTCTGCGGTCGACTGACAGTGATCGACAGGGATAGACTTACGTTCGTAAAATTATGCACACCAGCAAAGGTGAAGGCTAGGTTGGTGGGTGAATTATCTCACGAAGGGAATAGGGTTACAAACAAACGGCGCTGGGGGTGATGTAAACAAGACCCGTGTGAGAACTTGCGTTGTTGGAGGATAGATCTAATTAGTGAGGAAAAAGCGTCATTTGACTCGTACGTACAGTGGATTGCAGCGAAACAGTAGTACCAAAACGGGCGAAGGCTCAGCAACCAGGTCGGCTAGGCCAAATACAGAGTAGAGAATTTCCCGAAGGAATCTGAACGGTACGTGCACTACCTTCCGTCAGTACAGCTAGAGAAATTCACACGTAAGTGTTGCCATTACGTTTAAAATTCTGTTGCACTTAGACAGGAGACAAATACCTTGCTGACGAAGTGCAGTATGAGGATGGAACGGTTTCGGTGTGGCTCCCTCCAAACACTTACAGTTTGAAAAGCCTTACATACAGGTGGATGAATTGGGGCATAGCAGAAACTTGAGTGTTCACGGTGAAGGTGCAAGTTTTATTACTAGTGGCTGACGCACACAGCAACATCCAGGAAGTTGATGACGAGAGAGCACTTATATGAGCTACAGACGCGAAAACATTGTTCATGTGGACAAAACCGATTATCAACATGAGCAATTTACTTGGGAATCTTTCAAACTTCGTGACAAATTCTAGATAGAAAGATAAAACCCGAACGAGTGAAAATACTATAGCTTAACTTTTCGGATAAAGTGGGGTCCATATTGTATAGCAATATCTCTTCGTATCAATAGAACAATGGTACAATGGTGTATTACTGGTAAAAACTAATGCTTAAGAAGTCCAACGAGATGGAAAGCATTGAGAAAATAAAAATTCATGATGAAGGGAAAAGCGTTTTGGTGGTGTAGTAGAGCTGAGAGCTTAGGTAAAAGTAAAGATCATTAAATTCAGTGGTTGGGATTTTGGAAAAAGACGGTTTGGTTCTTCTATCTAGCCCCCTGGCTAGCACAAGTTGTAAAATTTAATGCCGATGGAACAAAGTATCGTTCAGTCGATATTTAAATATCCTTAGATTGGAAGCAGAGACGACATAATTTGGGAGAGCATCCCACGGCTGACACACTTGTAGAGAACAGTAATTTCCAGATGGGTATATTGCATTGTCAGCTTCAATGGATGACTTCTTAGGCTGGTGTTGTCCTTCAGTTCCGAAAGCGAACGACAAAGGTGGTTTGAGCTCTTCAGAATCTGGTAAAGTCTCCATGCAAACGCCGATATCGACTGCTGTACATTCCTATGGACTTAAATTTAAGCTGATAGGGCAGATGGAAGAGGCCTCTAACGTTCGTGGCTGCCTTTCGTTGAGGATTCTCGAGAGTAACGAAATCCTGTTCCTGCTACGGCTGCTACGCTTGAATGGCGTATTCTATGCGCGGTCGCAAGTAGGCGCTAAGCATTTGTGGGAGGATTGGGGGGTCAAATCGACCGAACGCTCTGCGAAGAATGCCAAAGTGATGATTGCCGGTTCTCGACTTCTTTGCTTGTTTTGAGCAGCTGAGATCGGCCAGTAACAGTAGATCCAAGTCACGCTCCTGAGGGACCTTCTGCAAGATGTGGTCTCCCAACTTGTACGTGCTCACCGGCTGGTGACGCAGATGGATCACCTTGCACTTAGCTGTGTTCAACTGGAGTAGGTTCTTCGTTAGCCACTCATAACTGCAATCCAGCTCATGTTGCAGTAAATCGTGATCATGCTTGGTATTAATTGACGGCCATATCTTGACGTCGACGGCGAAAAGCAAGAAATTGGAGGAGATAACTTTTGCCAGATCGTTGATAAACATTAGGAATAAGCGTCGTCCCAGTACGGAGCCCTATGGAATACCGCATTCTACCTCAGTTCGGTTACAGAGTGATCCCCTAACACGCAATTGAAGCTTCCGTTGATGAAGAAATTTGCCAATCCAAGAACAGGATCTTCGATTCCACAGCTTTGTAGTCTGTGAAGTAGGATGCGGTGATCCAGGCAGTTAAAGGCTTTGGAAAAGTCCAGATAAATGACGTCGACTCCGACCCCACCATTAAGCACTTCCGTCCAACTACCTGGTGCCAACAGCAAGTTAGTGGTGCATGATCAGTGTTGACGAAAATCATGCTGCTCCGGTGCCAAGACGTTGCATTTTCCCAGGTAATTCATTAGAGCCTCAGCGACGACCGCTTCCATCATCATCGCGAGCACAAAGAGGAGAGTCACTGGGCAATAGTTTGCAGGGTCTGAACGGCTAACAGATTTAAAAATGGGGGCAATAATGCCATGCTTTCACAGAGTAGGGACCTATTGTCCATCGAAGCATCTTCGGAAGAACTGTAACAGTGGCTCGGCTTGCTAGGTGGCTGCAGCCTTCAGTGCTTTCGGGAGGATGTCGTCGGCTCCCGAGAGTAACTAGTTTAGCAAGATTGCTAAGTTAAAATTACATGTGTAAACCGGTAAGGTGCTTGACGGTATGTGACAAGTAGAGGCTGCGAGTTCGAAAATTGGGACGTATTGTAGCCGCAGGACATTGACTGTTTCGTCTGTGCTTTGTGCCATACCCCCTTGTTGTGAAGAGTGGAGGGGTATGATGCTTTAGTTTACGAAGATTGTTGACATATCTACACAGTAGTTTGTTGTTTGCTAGAAACCTTTTGGCTAGGCACTGTTGATAAATTACTTTGTCCTCACAGACAAGTGTGGTGCAATGGCTGGGATGGATTAGGAAGTTTCCCCAAGTCGCTGAGTCTGAGTTAGCCTTGTAGGCGAACCATGCTGAATGCTTTTTTGCCATGCATATTTTAGTCCTGCTTCTAAGACTTGACGGCACTTTTGTGGAACGAAGTGGCTTGGTCTCTGACGCACTGTTGACCATGTCACTAGGTCTTTCACAAGTCACTTTCGACCATCATCTCTCCTGTCCTAGTAACCTTTCCAACAGGTCGCTGTCAGAAGGTTCGTTGCCGATGGACTGGAAAGGTCCGGTGGTGAAGCGTATTCCGAAAGGCAGCGACCCTAGCAAAGTAGACAACCACAGCCAAACTTGTCTGACACCTATATTGACAAAGGTTGCTGAGAAAATCGTGAAGAAGGGATTGCTGCAGTTGCTACAGTCAAAAGAGGTCATGACGCCCGCAAAGCACGGTTTCATGCAAGCGCGCTCATGCATTACAAACTTGCTTGTGACGAGGCATGAGTGGTTGAAGGCAATAAGCAAGGGAAAGTCCGTCGATGTGATATTCATCGATTTCAGTAAAGCGTTCGACAAGGTCAGCCATGAGGTTCTCTTTCACAAACTCAGGATGTGCATTGTCGAGGGCTCACTGCACTGGTCGATCCTCGACTTTCTTGTTGGACGAAAGTGGAGAGTACAGGTCGACGACCATCTAACTGACTGATATCCCTCTACAAATGACGTGCCTCAAGACACTGTGCTGGGGCACACTCTGTTCCTGATCCACACCAACAATCTACCTCAGCTTCTCCGGTCGCCGTGCACCTTATTTGCGGACGACATGGAAATTTGGAGAGAAATTGACGCTCCCGATGACTGTGGCCTACTTCAACATGACCTCAACCGCCTATCCACATGGTCTGCAGAATTTCAACTCCCGGTCAACCCAACCAAGTTTATATTTATGAGTCTGGGAAAGGGTGCTGATGGCCGAACCTATACTATTGACGGCTAACCGCTATATCCCACACTCTCCGTGAAAGACATAGGTGTACTCTCGCGCTACGATTTGAAGTCGATAGACAACACGAACAGGCTATATCGGAACGGACTGCGCGTGGTTTAGGCGCCCAAACTTAGCTTCAGCGCATGGTCTGAAGAGATTACCACTCGCATCTTCTCTTCCATCCTTAGACCGATGATAGAGTACGGTTCGCCAGCCTACTTTCCGATTACCCGAGGTGAGACAAAAGATCGAACGGGTCCAACACGTCGCAACCAAGCTCATCCCGAGCTTACGTGGATTGGGGTACGAAGACCGGTGCGAGAAACTAGGACTCTACACCTTGTCCTACCGTCGGGTGCGAGTCGACCTCATTATGACCTACCGTACATCTCGGTGACTTCCCCATGCTGAAGCCAATGCTGCACTTACGAGGGCCATGCAGCACACGCGGACACAGATACAAACTTGTGACGGATGTGAAACGTGTTCCCCACCCACTGTGTGCTTCGAACGGAGAGTGGTAAATATTTGGAACAGTTTACGTGAACATGTGATGGAGGCAACATCTGTGCAGCAGTTCAAAGCCTTGTTAGATTTATATTTTATCACTATTCAATTCAGACAACGATAACACACTTACGATGACATATCACATATGTGAGTCCTGCAATATCGTGAGGCATATATTTTAAATGTTACATGAGAACGACAACGATATTCACGGCTGACAACTTTATAACCTTTTTTACCATATTTCGAAATAGTTGTACAGAATTCATTTCTACTTGCTCTATAATACAGTATTCAGTATTCTCTCCAAATGTTGTCCATGGGATTACTGTTCGAGAACTCGCAAGTCGATGCTTCGATGAATTCGTTTAGGAAGTGGAAGCGTGTAATTGTTTGAGTTAGTTCCTAGTGTTCAGATGGATACTCTGCATAACACACATAGTTGAACGTTATTACTACATGGTCTCTGAGACCTAATGGACTACCCATCAATCACTTGTCAACCATGAGCTCTTCATTTATGAACACAGGGTATGATATGGACGGTTTGTTTGCTGTCCTGAATCTAGTGGGCAAGGTGACATGATTGTACAAGGGAATATTAACGATAAGTTCATGCAAGTCTGCTTTGAACGGTTCCGTGGAAGATACCGATACCTCCAGGCCGTGCACATTGAAGTCACCGACGATGAGAATGTGGCTGTACCTAGCGCGCGTTGCCCTGTTTAAGGCACCTATCAAGTTATAATCCATTTCCGGAGCGGACGTTGAGGGTCGATAAACGACAGCTATGAGATATACGTTGTTGTGTCTAAGTCGGAAATGGCAAGGTAGTTGGCTGAAGAAGTGGAACTGACAAAATAGCCGCTAGCGGCCCACAGTTTGTTGGAAGAGTTTGAGTTTGTCGACTACATTAGAGGTTACAATGCGGAAAACACAGTTATTTTCCCCAGGCGTGACGTGATTATTCCCAAATATTCCCTCCAGAGAACATCGATCACCTCACCAAACACATCGTGCACACAGTCAGACGAATTGGCTCAATGAAGGAGGAGCTAAAGGAGCTGCTCCATTAGTGTACGCACAAAGTCCAGTTATGTTTTGCCGGACAGGTATAACGACACTAAATCAAACTAGCGATGGGAGCACCACTGGGTGAACTGATTGAGCGACTGCCACTCTATAAGCGCTGTGCTGATGTGGCAATGTGGATATATAATACCTCCGTGAACCAGTCTGCATTACTGCGTAAATTCGATCAAGCGTAAAGAAGCAGTCACTTAAGCGTGCAACGTAGTTAAATGAGGGTCTGGTCTTGTCGGATATTCAGATGTCACATCGATCAGATGGCTTACTGCAGCGTAGAATCCACAAGAAAGCGACATGGGCGGATCGGTATACGCAAGTTGACAGCCTTGCACCGATTCGACAAAACCTTACTCGATATCTCATCCAAAGTGTGACAAAAATATGCCCCAGAAATACAAGTGAAGGAGAGTGAACCACGCGGAGGGAAATGTCCCTTTAAAAATGACTATTCCGAAGAGTTCATTGACAAGAATACGCGAATTGCTCGTATGGTTGCCAAAGAAGCTATGTTGGGGAAGAAACCTTTTTGCAGATCGTTGCCATTCAGGAGAGATAACACTTCCGAACGGATTGGTAAGCTATTGAGAATGACTGCCAATAGCACCTGTTTTGTTGGACAGTTATGCGTTCGCTTTATCTCCGAGTCCGTGCTAATCCCCCCAGCTGAAGAATCAATTGTCTGCGGATGCCGCCTGTGTACCAATTGGTAGGTTTTCGTGGGACAAGTTACACTAGCTGTGCTACGAGACGTGTCGCGAGCATCACTCAGTGTGGCCAAGCTGAGGATTGAACATTACGTTCACTACCGCAACACTCGCACACCTAGACCAATCGAACCACATGGTCGTTATTTCTAAGGCCTTATGCCCTATCTACTTTGTGAGAGGTTTTCCCTCCAACCTTAACAGATGCTGCATATTCGCACTGCCGGAGGCGATAACCAGTCGTTTCGACAATTCCACTGCTGTGCGTGTATGCACAACTAGTGAAGGTTTTAGGCGTACTGTGGTCAGTAGTCACCTATGCAGCTTCCGTGTGAACAGATCGTATCCCTATGGCCACTTTGTCGTCTCAATTATCTTGTTATTTAACTCACTTTGTCTTAGCTACATAAGTTTGTCATATTTGGTCTGATGAGGAATCACTGAAAACGAGATTGTTTGACACACCGACTTTCCATGGCTGAAGCGCGGATCGTTAGCACCATCACAACCTATAGAGGCTTATAAGTAATTTGGCACCACGTCCAAATGATGCCAGAAGGATGCGATTGATATCAAGCAGGTAGAGTAATCGGGGGGGGGGGGACAGAAGCGTTGGTCCATACAAGACACAAGCGTAGGCACCAAACTTACCCATTCGGAACGAGGGAAAGCTTGAAGTGAGATGGTGTCTAGTGCTGAACCTTCCTGTGCGGCGTGCAACCCCTGCCAGATGACTTCGGTTAAGTGAGGCATTATGGGATGAAGAAGACACAGCCCGGTAAGCATTGATGCTCGGAATAGTTCGAAAGACGATGCATACCGAGAGTCAGAAGCTGAAAGGAGTAAGAAGGACAGAGAGAGCAAGAGCGAAAATGAGACTGCAACTGGTAAAACGTGGTACACAAATAAGATGTTCACCGAAACGAACCGTATGGTCTACAAACAAACAGTGGCCTACTCTAAAAAACAATTCCCAACCACGGGTGAGGCTTTGCTTCATTGATAGCTGGCGTCTTCAGGCTGAATACTCAAATAACAAAAATAAGAAGAGTAGACACCGGAACTTTGGATTTCAGTAAACACGAGGATTCCCTTCAGTCAGAAATCGAGGACATGCGAATGGGGGTTAAAGATAAGGTTATTGAAGTATAACCTCCACAGAAAGAGAGCGCAGCCGTCGTCTTCAAGCATGACAACCCAAGCAATTAAATGAAACTATTAAAAAAACGTATGTGAGGGTTGTCACACACGTACTGTCGGTTAGGATGGGAAAACCCGCGCAGCCAATTTTACTTCCGAACCTTCCCAGGCTGAGCTGCTTGGCCCCAACAAGTTCCCGATGAGACACTACAGTCACATTCCGAGTTGGACCTGCTGCTCACCACTTTGTGGGCCAGTTTCTCGACTTAATGAATTCGGGTTGGGACCCTCAAGCGAACTCACATTAAAGTTGCCATTGCCCCGAGGAACAGACAACTGAACTAAGGGCTAGAATTAGAGCGCCTAGAAAAACCTCCCATCGAAACGGACAGTAACATCAACCCACGCGTCTGCGCCACCAGTGATTACTTCCGCTATGCTGTTCTCCTTCCATACTAAGTAATCACTTCATGTGATAACCGACAGGGGAGACTACCACCACTCTGTTTATCAGCAGCAATAAAAAAGAATCAGAGTCATTCATCAAATCTAGGGTACCATTCCATATGGGATCTTCAATGTCCATGTGTTGTGCCATATCAGTCGAAAGAGGACTCCCACTACGGCTTCACACGCCCTCGGAATGGATATCTGATGAATCGCAGAAACAAGGACAGCGTTTTAAAGTATCAACACCTTACATGTTCGGGATTAAACGGGGGGAGATTATTTGCATAGCTAGCACTGCTGACGACGCAGTACTGATGGCACGCAATGGACATGCATGCATGGACCATGTAAGAGTCCATGAGAAACAGTCTCTTGGGTTCACAATGGTAGATCAGGTGCGTCACGGCTGTTACACCAATTTTTTCTCCTTAAGGTTGCGGGTGAAATGATCATGAATGGAATATAATATTTTATGCCACTTGTTCTGTTCGGAGGGCGCTCTGAAACTGTGAGTAAGCGGAAGCTAGAGTAAGACCCAAATGCCATGCAGGGGCCGCTGACTAGGCCGGCACACATTATCGCACATTTCAGTACGCACTTCGCACTGCATGATATCGTTGAGAGACCATGCTAACAAGCCACTATAGAGGTAGCTCGGAAGCCAGAAAGGATAGGCAGGTCGTTCGCAATCGATTTATCATCGTTCGCTCGGCAAATATCGGCACATGGGCAAATATCAACTAACCAGTTAGCTACGTGAAGTCAAGTCACCCATGACGAGTGAATTTTCAGCCGTAACAAAAGTGGCATCGACGGGATAAAAGTAGTAATGTGCGAGTGGAAACACACTTAGCAAATAAAAAGTGTGGTGCGTAACATAACAAAACTGTTCGAATTTACTGATTGGCTCTTAAATAATGGCGCTCTGTTCAGACAGAAACCTGGCTACCGGAAAACCTTCGAGCTGCAGGTCCCCTTGTGAATGTATACTACCCTATATTTTCATCTGGTCGATAAAGTTGAGACATAGTTAGATAAAGCACTATGCAGAGGATGGCTGATATCGATGCGTATTTTCGTAGTAAGCTTTGCGAAGCAATTAAGTGTCTGAGACACAGTTGACTTTGGAATGCCGATGTAGCGGGACAAATGCTTCAACGACATGTTGAACAGTTTGAAATGCTTACACAATAGGTCTGGAGAAATCACAAGTGCAGAAGCCCGGTATGCGAAATACACGCAGTGATAAACCTTAAAATCGAATTGTGTGACATGAAGGATGATCGCAATCGAGAACCGTTCATTTCATTCACGTGGACTAACCACGATAAATCGTGGCTCAGTCTGACTCCAAGATACTTGGGAAGCCCAAGCTCTCACCATCAATCTCAAGTTCGGGACAGTTGGTGACAAGTTGCTGGTAACGAGCTGCTTTACGAAATAAAAACAAAATATCATCCTACTTAGATGAGTTTGGCATCAAACAGTGGGATTTCGACAACTGCGCCAGTTCATCAAAACAACTTTATGTATTCCATCTGATCCCTCTGAAGCTACAACTCGCAACTCGACTGTTACGAGTCGGTGGTTAAGACCATTGAGCTACGAGGGACTGCAACAAGATCGTGACCAAATTACTAGATGTGATATAGCGTCGCTCACTATCCAATGACTTACACGCTAATGCTGTGATGAGGACAGTGTAACCCCCTCACTAAGCGACGAAGTTATCACAGGGGTCAGATGGAATGCGCACTGTTGACTATAGCATAAAGAAAAAACGGCCGCACAGTGCTTTCCCGGGCGTGTGATGGCGGCCTGACGAAGTCTAGATATGATGCCTTTCCACTTATACCACTCAAATTTCCATGCGAATTCTTTGTAACCAATACGCAAACCAAAATGTTTGCAATGTTATAAGTTAATCGGCGTCCGTCGCTCGGTGCTACACTGTTCTCTGCACGGCAGCAGCGTGTAAGTCAGTGGATACTGAGTGGCGCTATATCACATCTAGTTACTTAGCCACGTCGGTCGTTACCGTCCCTCGTAGCTCAAAGGTCTGAAGCATAGGTTGGTAACGGTCGAATTATGAGTTCTAGCTCCACAGAAGTTAGAGGGAATGCGCACTGCCGACGATCCCCGAAAGGATGAAACTGCCATACTGTGCTTTTCCTGGCGTGTGATGGCTGTCTGACTGAGTCTAGGTGTGATGCCTTTCTACTTATACCATTCAAATCACCATATTAGTTCAAACCGCTGTAGCAAGTGCTGCTGGCGGAGTGCAATGGCCTAGTGATCATGGCGATAGCCGCGAACCATTGTGTGCCGAGTTTCACTCACAGCTCGGGCTATCTCCATCTAATGAGTCTACACGAGGACGAAACGCGTCGTGAAATGCAGGGATTGGAGAGAGTAACACCGAAACCCTTCACCCTACAATTCCCTTGTGACAAAGCAACGTTGCATTTTGGTTGAAGTGGCTGAGGTTGGATGATTCCCGCTGATGACAGGTATAGAGGTAACGTAGGTAGATAACAAGAATGGTGACAGAATAGTTCCTTGAAGGACCCCGGAAGTTGTGGTAAGAGGCGAAGAGTTTGTACTGCCAAAGCTGGTGACCTGGGTATGCTTGGTGGAATAACCCTTGAGCAAGAAGACTAGGGGAGGTTAAATATCAAAAACGCAAAGATCTCGTAACGGCAATTCATGGATAACACAACCGTAGTCAAGGAAGTAGACAAGTGGGTATTTGCTTCCACAGTCTAGCGACGATGACACTAAGTGCACCAAACAAGCCGCTGCGTTTAGTGTACACCTTGAACTTCCGTATGAAAGCTGATGTGGGTATTCTAAGCGGGATTCGGCCACCATTCGTACAAGAAAAAGTTTCAAAAAGGCCTTCAAGGTCACAGTGGTGCATGCAGAAGTCCATATTTACCCGTCCCTGACCTAGTAGCTAGAGACGTAGAGGTCCCAACTAACAGCCCAATCGTCCTGGGTTCGAGGTTTGTTATATCCACTTGATGAGATAAAATAAGATCGAAACAGGTCGTGGTGCGCAGTGTTTTGGGGCGGGCAACACCCGAGGGTAGAATCATGCATGTAAAGGAATATGTATAGTATCCCTAGACAAACCGTAACACTGACCCCGTTCACGTAGCTTCAAAATCTCCATGTAGATGGAGCACAATTCCTCGATCCACCAATGACGCAACCGGTTAACACCATGGTGGAACCCGAAAGGCTCGATGTGATCGCGGATCGAGCGACGTTCAGTCGAACACTGAGTGGATGTCCAAGTGTTTTGTATCAAGAGCACCAAGTCAGCCAGACGATGAATAAGCCAAACGTCCGGTAGTCGAAGGTGCTGTAACAATGGTAAGGAAAGACAGTGGTTTGGGAGATTGAGCACAATACCAATGAGTGTGACTCAAGAAGGAAGAATTGATAAGAGGAAAAGAAACTGGAACACACTGTAATGAAGGGTAGTGAAGTGTGCACCCCAAATGTGAAGGAAAGAATAGTGCCACGCAAAAGACCAGTGTGGTATAAATGCGAAATAGATCGTGACTAAAAAGGGGCACATTTCAACGTTTGAATCGATAGAGTGCAGAATGGTACGTGACGAATGAAAAAATCTCTGGGCACACTGAGCATGTGGAAGCGAAAGACGAAACGTCGAGGCAAACACCGAAGTTCCCAACGCCGTTAACTAGTCGATCTTGTATTAATGAACGAAAGATAAGCATAGACCGACTGTGAACAGAGTGAGAAAGACACCAAAAAGTTTAGTCAAATAGTAGGAAAGGATTCCTTAAAGCAGATAGCGAAGAAGGGACACATTAGTGGTAAGAGACCGATTAGCCGCACACGGATACACGCTGAGAGGGGAGGTAGATGAAGCGTAGGATGCTAATCACGTTGGTGAATTGACAAATCACATAACGCAGGGCCATCTCAATCAATGACTCGATCGGTTTGCCTAAGCGCATTGGCAAGTTACACTCTAGTCACCGGGGGCGCCGTACAACCAGTTGTATTAGAAACAGGCGAAACACGTTCACGCGGACAAATAACAGTCATGTGAGTCCGGATTAACGTAGGCGGTGCAGATAATTCACATGGTTTAGTAAAAGACAATCCTGGTCGGATGGCGGACATCAATGATACACATTCCGAAGCATACGTAAGGTACGAGCAATGATTTGCAAGTGCTGATGCTCAAGACAAACAGTCCCCTATCGACGTTCACATCGAGATTAGCAGCAATTACATTGTAGATGTTTGTATGCAATGTTTGACCGTCAAGTTAAAGTCCCACTGTATCCACAAGCGGAGAGTTGCTGAAAATGATAGTAGTTTCCTCTGTGTTACGGAGAGCCAGCGTACGAGCCGAAAAACGTGGCGTAAGAGTGAATCGATCTACAATTGGAGATCGAACTCGAGTAGAGATCAAAACGGGAATCTATGTGGAATCAACGGCAAGCCGGACCATGAACTTGAACCGTTTGAGTTGTGTTAATTAAGATGAATCCTCATTTTCAAACTGTTGTGTTAGCGGTTGCCTACAACCTATTTACTGCGCCATGCTCCCATACAATAGAATCTTTCGGTCCGACTGGTCTTGGTGTTCTCATTTCGTTGCAGGACGGAACTGGTTGGGGGCGCCACAACAGATTTCAGGCAGGTTATCCGTACTGTCAGCGGAAATCACAACACTCTGCACACTGGCTACCAGAATTAATACAACTGTCTGAAGTGATGAAATGAGTGCCCGAATTGAGCGATTGTTCCGTAACACTGAGAAATAAATGTGTGTCCGAGGAGGGCATTGTTTGATCACTACACATGTCGCAGCCCGTAGTCAATGCAGGCCCACTGCACTGAGCACAAGGTGATGGGTACAGGGTTTAGAAGAGTAGGGATGAGTTCATTAAAGGAACGTGCTAAATACAATCAGTTTTATCCAAAGATAAAACACAGATAATTGTGAACTCACAACAGCATAATTGCCGATAGCTGCCCAAAAGTCCTCCAATGACTTAAAGGATACGATTGACTTTGAGGTATCCGTTCGCATCTGAGTAAACCGTGCCGTTTGCCAGACCTGCAGAGATGTGATAGATAAGTGGGTGAAACGCATTCAAGAGCACAGGGGATGCACTTAAACATGTGGTCACACACCCGATAGAGTTGACGTGTCCATGGGCGCTGAAGAAAGCGGTTTCATACCGCCCGGGAAGTGCGTTGATGAACCATGTACGGAAAAGTGATAGAAGAACCGGCGAATGGTATATGCGAAAATAAGGATGAACCCACACGAGGCACATCACGACTGTACTCAAAGCCCAACGGATCCTGTCTCAAGTGACAAAGAAGGTGGTCCAATTCCATCTACACGCGTACATTAGATGGCGTGAAAGACAAACAATTCAAGCACCCGTGTGAAGAGGAATGTAATGGAGATGTAGACATACCTTGTTACCAAATCGGCGCATCTCCAGGGCGGACATCTGATGATAAGGCACTTGCGGTTGAAACAACGAGCAGCCGAGCAGTGACGCCCGCAGAGCATCTGCGCCAATTGTTTTGATTGATGGACCGACACTAGCCTGTAAACAAAATTGAGCCAGCAGTAGCAAAGGCTACACGAATAGACGGCAAACATCCCAAGGTAACTTGGACCGGGAACGTGGAAAAAAGTCCGTTTCAACCGATCGCGGAGCATGAATCATCGAAGAAAAGTCAGACCGTGAGCTGCAGGGGCCGTGAACAATATGGAATGCAGATAACCGGTTGCTTTGACACGGTCGTAGCTCGAAAAATGGAGCTATCGGTATCCAACCGCAAGCTACAAACACAGGGAAACGCCCATACTCTTGTGAATTAGGCAGCATCGCCGGTTTCGGTGCGGGAGCAAAGCGATTATTGGTTATTTTATCCAGCTCTAAAGGGGGTCACAAATGAATGACATTTACAGTTAGCCATAGGGATTAGTAGCATCGTCGGCAGAAACGGACGGTAGGTTCTTCAGCAGATCATGAGCGTATCGTTAGTTGTCGTTCTATGACGAATAGAGGTGGGGTGGGATCGAAGAGACCGTCTTTTCATGCAGTGCTAACAGCGCAGACATAGGTTACTAGCAACGGTAAACAAGTAACAACAGCGGAATGGGATCACGCGTTAGCCCCGTGAGTGGGTGTGGGTGGATAGCAAAAGAATATGCGTGCATCCACTAGGCATACAAGTTTTTTCGAGTCGATGACAACATTAAATGTTCGCAGTGAACCAGTCGTAACAATGTTCTTCGTTGGAAAGGCTGGTAGGAAAACGATGACAGTGGCGGGGAAAAAGATCAAACTGTTGTTGGAGTAGGAAACAGAGTCTGGTTAGATTTACAACCGAGAAAGTCGCAGTAACAGGAGTAAATGTCGATGTGGTTCGCTGCTACCATCGTATCGGGTTTTATGGCCGCGTGGAAAGACGTACAACATCACAAATTCGAACTGGACGATTGTCATTATGGATGTGTATTGTGTGCTGTGGAGATTTAATGCATTTACAGTTACACGCTAGTGGATATACTGCACCCGCACATAACTTTGTTTCACAAACTGCCACAAAGGCTGGGATAACAGTAAATGCTTTGTTTCTAATCACTGTTTCAAATCCAAATAATGATATGCGAAGGTACAGGATGCGTGATGACGTAATCATCTCCTGTATTCTCCAACTGCGAATATGCAATCAACTGTACACCTGTTGCGAGTCACAGAATCGATGTCTTAATGGCCGTGCTTGCGGACACTCATGCGTAATCAGCACCACCAGACGCGACAACAATAATCAATTCCGGGATGCGTATAGAGAAATCCATGCGATTCACAAACAGATATCTTACACTGGACATCGAGCCGAGTCCGTGAACCAAGTCGAGCGGATCAACCACATTTCCTTTGCTCTTTGACATTTTTTGACCAGACGGATCACAAATCAAACCGTGCAGGATAACCTGAAAGATACGAAGTCGACGGATGGGAAATGACTGTAGAACATGACCAATATAAAAAGAGCAGATGGTCAAAAATAGCATCCGCTAGAGTGAAGCAAGAAAAAACATTGTAGAGTACTCATGACAAAGTCCCAGGAAAGTGGGTAATAGGGCATCCACACATAGCGACAAAACGTGCATGCTGTACTGTCGAGTGAACAAAGTGATGCCGATGCAAATGGGTGTAAAATGGACACAAAACATTGGAACCCCACGACATTCTAGTTTAGAGCAAGCAGATGGTAACAGGAAGTAGTCTGTCAAATTGCATGCATGACGAACGTACGCGGTGTGAAAAAACCGGGATACAAAAACGGGCGATGAGAAACACGCCGTTCAGCTACGTCACAAACGGATGTTGGTTCAGCCGAACCACGTGGATGTGCTTGGTAGGTAACGAGGCGGAGGCAATCAATCAGTATGCAACTCACCGTTTTGAAAGGGAGTTGTTTGGTCAGCTGCCAGCCGATCATCACCATGCGTGCCACCCAGAAGAAAAGAATGTCCTGACCGGTTTCCAACAGTTGCATGGGGTAGAAGAGACGTAAATCCGAAGTCTGTGGCAATCAAGAAGCGAATGCGTGTTGTAATTGAGGAAGGAATGACGGACGTTGAAGCCAACACATAGCAAGCAACTCGTCGGCGTTGGCGGCACCTTTAAATCGGCCCTTGCCTTTTCATTGAACATCATCTTTACTTTACCCACTGCGGAGATAATAAGTTTTATAGGAATAAGTTGACAGCTTTTTTGTCCAAAGTAGTTGCAAAGTCAACAAGACCGTTATTTTGAATGCAAAGCCCTGATCCAGCGCATTGTTCGCGTTCTGTTGGTTTTGGCCACTAACTTTTAGCGAGGTGAAAACAACTAAGAACTGATCTCACAAAATAATGCTCTGTTGGCTGGAAAAAACCACTAGGATTCTGTTTGTCAATATTCATTCAGTGTTCAAGAACGCCGGCCCTTGTATTCGAGTGACACCATTGTGTCCTTTTCCGTTTACTGTATCCATTTACGAAATGTTGCATTTGTCAAGACGTCGTTTTACTTTATCCCCGACTGATACTGTAAAATGCTGAAAATGCACCCATCTGGGTACATAAAGCTTTGACTTGATGTGACTTGGACAGAGGAGGGGGGGGGGTAAAAGCTAGTACTGGGGACTATAACAAATAGAAAACCTACTGAGAAGATGGAACTCTTAAATGAGGTCAGCGGAGCAGATTGTCCACTCCACCTTCGCGCCTGACTTCGAGCTCAGTCAATTGCTGAAGAACGAACAAAGTTCAAGGATAAAACCCATTTTAGTGACTGATGCCATAGTAACGTGGGAAATGAAATGTCCACGGAGCCCTCACTGCTCATGATAGAGAAGCGACGGATGAGTCCTCTCTGTCCTCCTGCTGAAGTCGGATGGAGTTCACGCAGACTGTAGTAATACAAAGATGTATACTGTATCGAGTCTCAATTCCTGCTAGTTCAAAAAGTGGACAAACAAACTTGCCTGATCAGGCCACCCAAGGACGGAGAATGGCAGAAGAGAAGAGCTGAACCAAGTGTCCAGAACGTCCGGATCTAAAGCACAAGTGTGGGTAGTTGTGGAATTATCCGAGATGGAGCACCAAAAGTTAGTGCGTGTATCAAAAATGGGACTAAACACTCGTTGAAGAGGAATGAAGCCCCAGAAATGAGCAGTACCTGTGAAGCGTAAGAGAGCTTGCGAGAGTCCATTAACCAGATGCGCGCGGTGTATTCAGACAGATTTTGGGACCAGGAATTTCTTTACTAGTCCAGACGACTCTCATTGTGTAATGGGCGTTCCAGCAACGCCGCGATGCACACTTTGGTTAGAAGTAAATGAAAGGATTTCTAAATGGAATACGTCTTGGGGGTGCTTCGTAGACCAACTAGAACACTAGTGAACAATAAATTCCAGACGATGATTAGAAGTCAAGAGTAAGAACGGAGGAGGCCGCTCCAGTCTAAACCACACCATGATAGACAAAAGGACGAGCGACGAAGCGGATTAGGATAAAACGCACAACCTTTAGTCTTCTAACTCAGGTCGTTTGCAGTAACATACAGAATGCCGACGAAAAATCAATCCCGAGTACGACAAGTAATGACCAGCATAAGTGTGTTCTGCTAAATGGGAATTCCGTGGTTGGTGTAGGGTGCATGCCTGGATAGAGTGGTAACAACAAAGTAGGCGCAGATACACAAGGTAATGGACTCCGGAACAGCAATGTGGAGAAAAAGGCGACCGTTTCGAAAGTGGTCCCAAATGAACTATTCCTGTGAAGGTAAGAGTGAGCTTCCCAAGTGGGGCTATGAAAAGCGGCCACAGTACATCAAGCTGCATCAGGGTCACCAAAAATTGGGCAACTTTAGGAACATGTATGGAAATCATGATCCATTGTTATCGTTGAAGGAAGCGTGGAAAAGATGAGGTAGTGCAGTGAACATTGCTGTTGATGTCAGATGTAACGAGTTAAGGATGCCCGTTTGCAATTGGAGCTGGCTGACTTCATCAGCCAAGGTAACACCGTCGACGTATATGTTTGATCTGCTTATACCTCAGTCATGTTGCTAGCAGGAGGCAGAGCTTCTGTCTCCGAACGCGTCGGAGACTTAGCGGTCGGTGAGGGAGGCGAAGATATGTGGCTGAGTGATCGCATTACCTAGAAGACCAATCGACTCAGATGAGAGGATTCCTGAGCGGACTATAAGCAGTTCGTGGTTGATGACTGGGAGTAAATGCTTCTAAAAGCAACCCTTATTTAGACATCGTAATCGGACGAACTCGTGGGATTATCCTTCCTTCAAGAATCGTGCAACCAAATAAAAGGGGATTCCGCATGAAATCTCTTCATTCCGTGGCTAGACGTGCAATCAGGCATCACAATAATCGAAGGTAGTTAACCAGCGGTCAGAAACAGACCTTTGCGGCAATGAAGGTTCACCATCACAGACGAAGACAAACAGTATAAGACATGCAGCCGTTCCGACAATACAGTTGTACAAACCTTGCTCAAGCGGCACGGAATCTGAAACCACACCCAGCTGCTCTTTCGCAGACTGTTCAGACCGAGCCACAAGCCAATGATTGGTCGTATCAAGCGTAGCTGATCCTCGTGGCTACAAATCAAATGAGAGAATGGAGGGGATTCTTATAAGGTTTCAGAACGTGGAACATTTACACGCACACTTACAACGAAGTATGAAAAAGATGGGAAATGTAAAGAAAGTAGACGCTCCAATGATGGTTGTTATGCAACTCAAACTGTGCCTTGAGAAAGGTAGCCCACAAGTGGTGAGATCGAAATACTGTTAACATCAGCCTAGTATTTTGGACTACCGCTTCGTTGCCACGCTACCTGTTGTCACCACTGACGCCTTCACCCCACGACCGCAAGAAGAAGAAGTCCAAAGACGAGCCGGTAAGAGACTTGTATACATGAAATCACACTCGCTTACATAGTTTTGAAGGCAAAATGAAGGGAAGCTACTAACACGCTTGAGCCAACCAACGGAAGGAAAACGTCAAATGCAACGGGCGAATAAGCAACCGTGTAATCAAGAGCGAATCTCATATGTCCTTAAAATTAACATCACGAGACCCCAAGCGTAAGGTGAACATCCATTTACAGTGACGGGCACTGGTCAATCAGAATAACGAAATGTGGCGTTTAAACAAATGTCACGAAACAAACGAGAATAAGAAGTGCAGACCCGAAAATAAAAAAAACTAGTACAATAATTGTGGGACAACTAAATATTCCTTTAACATAACCAAGTAGAAAAGTGATGCGGAGAAAAACCAATGGAATGTGTTCTTGCAAATGGCACTGCTGAAGATGACGCGGAGATGAGCGTCCATTAACAATGACGGTGTGTACCAATCGGGTGAACACAATGGGGCTTCTAAACAACAATCAAGAAGTAGAAAATAGGAGGAATAAAGAATGACAGAAAAAAAACTGAATGTCAAATAGTTATTCTCCTAACACCACCGCAGGTAGTTGTACGCGAACTGGGAAAGTTAATTGGTGCCAAAAACAACCTAAGAACGGGACCCGATCAAGTGAGCAATTGAAATCACTGTGTCCGCGACTGGAATCACCGCTCACAGCAGAGATGTCCAAAGTCCGGGCCGCGGGCCGAATGCGGCCCGCGTTAACATTTCAATTGGCCCGCGGCCACATCATGAAATAATAAATTCAGGCCTAGATTTTTTCATACATGTGTGATTTTTGTTATTCTCCTAATGTCAGACGGAATATGGCCCGAGATATTCTTAGCTCACAAAATGTGACCCTCCTTGCGAAAAGCTTAGACACCCCTGGCCTACAAGGAAGTGTTGTTTCTTGGTCTGCTCCACTGATGTGACTAGAACACATACACAAACGCAAATATTTCTCCAGTCCTGTTATAGAATGTACATCACCCGATGCGTATACAACGGAGTGGAAATAATCCCTGCAGCAGCTGATTAAAGTACGTGTCATTACCTCTACCGACAATCAACTTCGGTGCGTCTGCAACACTCTGAAACGGCATCTGACTAGCAGACGTATGGTAGACTGGAGAGTTTGTTGAGATTAGATGTGGTTGTGAGCATTGGAATGCTGCTTCAGCTCACCCAGGATAAGGGCTCAGGAAAGATCTTAGTGTGTAAAAATATCGCAGATATAGGAAGTTGCGCCTTGGAGTACCCGCTGTGGCTCGATTATGGCATGCAACTCCTAGTGGAACCTCGGATCTCAATCTCAATGGTCTAGTGATCAATGCGTCAACTGTTAACCACCAGGTCCTGACAATATATATATATATATATATATATATATATATATATATGTACATACATATATATATATATTCCTGTTTTCAATTCCTGTTTTACAATTTTGTCCTAATGCTTTCTTTCTCAAATAAATGTCTATCTGTACTCTTTTCTATAAACTTGCACATGTCGCATAAGATTATTGCAGTTAATTTCGATAACATTTTCGTGTTTGTGGCATTTCCGAAAATATACTTTCTGATCTCGTGAACTTATCTTGGATTCTCTTGTAAACAACTTATTGCATATGCGCATTAATTTAAGAGTTCTGCCACCGTTTCCTTATGCAGTATTCGATTTGTTTTCGTTGTTGTCATTCAAGTGATTGTCTGTTGCTTGTCATCACCGGTGCGGCTGTGCATGATGTGCATGTTGACAAGGTGCCTACCTGTCTATTACCCACAACCTCGTTCATACTGGCTCCAGGAGACAGTTGGTCGTTGCTAGAGGGGACGGTGTGCACGGTCTTTGTGGCCGGGCTAGGCTCAAAGAGCGGTTCCATGCAATCAGTGTGGAGCGGACTACGGTCCAGCCAAAGTCTTGTGTGCGGTTCGTTCCCAAACTATAGCGTGCTTGTGTTTGTAGGCACGTTTGTAGGCACGCTGAATTCGATTTACTAACCGCGTGCTTGCATGCTAAGTCTCTTTATTTCAAGTGGTGGATTTACACTTTTTACCTTAATGCTTTTCTTTCTCATATAAATATCTCCATGTACTCTATTCCATTAACTTCCACACATCGCTTCAGCCAATTGTATTCGATTTCCATAACATTTTTGTGTTCGTGGCATTCCGTGAACTATACTTTCTGACCTCGTGCACTTAGCTAGGATCTGTTTGTAAACAACTTATTACATATGCTATTTACTTAAGGTTTATATCACCGTTTCCTTATGCAATAATTGAGTATTTCTCTTTTTCTTTCTCTCTCTCTCTCAAGTGTTTGGCTGTTGTTTGATATCCCCGGTGTGGCTGCGCTTGATGTGCATGTTGACAAGGTGTCTACCTGTCTATTACCCACTACCTCGTCCATACTGGCTCCAGGAGACAGTTGGTCGTTGCTGGAGGGGACAGGGTGCACGGTCCTTGTGACCGTGATAGGCTCGAAGAGTGGTTCCATGCAGTCAGTGTGGAGCGGACTACGGTCCAGCCACCGCCTTGTGTGCGCTTAATTCCCAAATACAGTGTGCTTGTGTTTGCCTGTGAAGGAGTGTGGGCCGGCTCCGCTGATGAAACGTGGTTCCCATCCGCATGCCTCCCGGTCTTATTCCTTCGGGTTTACACTGGATATGGGGTATGTGGTTGGAGCTGTGGGTGGTGCAGCGCAAGCCATCCATGGTCCCTCTGTAGGCGCAGGCGTCCTGTGTCTGGCCACAGTGACAGGCAAATTCGAAACCGGATGCCGCCAACCATATATATATATATATATATATATATATATATATATATATATATATATATATATATATATATAGGAGGGCAAGCCTATGGTTCGCTGAGGCTGGTGGTGGCTAGATCCTGACAGATGGTCTACCCACTGCTGCTACTGTTGTGCCATTGGCTCATGTCCTGGGCGCCTCCTCGTGGCGACCGCTGGGTGGGAGTCGGGTTACGCCCTTCTCCCTACTAAGATCCAGGACACCAATCTGCATGAGTCGATGAACTGACCATGTGCTAGATCCGCTGCCTTTCGGGTGTACTTTTAATCGAAGGCTTTGGCTGAGGACCCGAGCCGTTCTCCTGACAGGTGTGGGCGCCGTGCCAGTATCCTAGTCCATCCTCTTCGGAGGTTAGGAAGTGGTCGATGGCCCTCTTCCCGTAAAACCTAGTCATCGGAGAAAACAGGTCTACGGGTTATAAGCTCACAGCTCGGTTGGCGTAGAGCATGAGTGCCACGCATTGTATCTGACGGTGGGAGGGCACCTCCAGGTGTTCAATGGTTTGCTACTGCCCGCCACAAGAAAGGCAGCCCCCGGGTCAAATTGGTGCAAACCCGCCAAAACCCACCTGCGTCTGGCAGTGGTCGCAGGTGCGTATCCAATTACGGTCGCAAAATATATATGAATCGTTCCAGTACCTCCAAGACTGCGTGTGACGGCCGTCAAGCAGATCCCCATCTGTCTCTGCAATCACATTCCCGAGCTGGATCTGCTCCCCACTGCCTTGTGGATCAGACTATTGAGCCAAAGTCTCCGGGTGGAGTCGCTCAAGCAAAACTCCGAATCAAAACCGCCACCTCGCGTGCGATTGCTCACCAATGCAATCATATGCCTGCGTGCAAAGCACTCAGCATCGGGTGCTGGAACGTGCGCACACTACTAGACTGGAACTCGAGTGAGCGCCCCGAGCCACCCACTACACTGGTCGCGATGGAACTGACGCGCTGCAATATCGATATTGCGGCGCTCAGTGAAACTCGGCTCGCTGAGCAAGGTAAGTTGCATGAAGCAGGTGCTGGTTGCACAATCTACTGAGTGGGCAACGCCACATCAGCACCACGTGAACATGGGGTCGGATTTGCAATATCCGATCGCCTACATGGCCAGATGGTGGGTGAACAAACAGGCATCAGCGACTGATGACTGTTCGCCTACGACTCGGAATTAAGTTTGCCACCTTCATAAGCACGTACATGTGTTATCCTGATGACATGCGTGATCAATTCTACATTCAGCTATCCTCTGTGATACGGTCTGTGCCGAGGAACGACCGACTATTTCTGCTGGGTGATTTCAACGGGCGTGTTGGGCGTGATGCATCGGTGTGGACAGATGTTATCGGTGCGCATGGCATTAGCTCAGCGAATGCGAACGGTGACAGACTGCTCTCACTGGGTGCCACTCACGGCCAGACGATCACGAACACTCGGTTTGCACTGAGTGCGAGTGGTTACTCTCACCTGCTCGACTATGTCATCGTACGTCAGCGTGATATGCGTGAAGTGCGCATGACACGTGTACTGAGTGGAGCTGAGTGTGGCACGGATCACAAGTTGGTGCGGACCAAACTGTACATATATTTTCGTAAATCTATGTATTGCACTCCCGCCGTGAATCGGCGTAAATTTAACATTCTCTCCCTAGGTAATGTGGAGAAATGTAATGCGCTGGAGAAGATCATGGCTACACCCCTGTGTGATGTGGAAGGCATGGTCACAGTGGACGACCTGTGGCACCACATTCGCGACCAGGTGACAGCTGCTGCCGAGGAGACCATCAACGCGCGAACTGTACGCAACCCGATTGGTTTGATGAGAACAATGGGACGATTGGCGCATTGGTGTCGGGGAAGAATGCAGCATTTGCTGCACATGTCGCAGACCCCAGTGACTTGGGGAAGAGTCGGTTTCACAGAAATCGACGATGACTAACTTGAGAGCTCCGTCGCATTAAAAATGCATGGTGGACGGAGAAGGTGAAGCAGATAGAATGCTAAGCCGAACGCCGCCAACACAAGGTACTCTTTGACTAGTTGAAGGCGGTGTATGGACGGACGTTGGAGCCGCTGAGGACACTGATCGATGGTAGTTCAGGCGCTATCTGTACACAGACTTCAGACACTATGTAGATCTGGCGAAAACACTTTGACTATCTCTAGAACAACCGTTCAGAGATTGACTAGCCTACATTGAACGGCCTGAAGCAGCACAATGTGAAGATTAGCCTGGCGTACACGCCGACACTGGATGAGACTGAGAGCACTTGCTCAGCTGCGAAACGGCAAGTGTGCCGGTGCCGACGGGATCCCGCCTGAAGTATTGAAACACGGTGGACCCCCGTTGTTGACTGCGCTGCACCACTTGGTGCAACGTGTATGCATTGAGGAGGAGGTGCCTCCTGAGCTGAAGGATGCCCTTGTGCTACCACTGTACAAAGACAAAGGGAGCAAGCAATGTTGCACGAATTATCGTGGCATCAACTTGCTGAGTTGTGTGGGGAAGGTGATTGCCCGAATCATGCTCAACCGCCTCGTCAGTCAGGTTGTGGAACCGAACGTGGCGAAAGAGCAATGCGGATTCCGTTCGGGTCGCAGCACCATCGATATGGTGTTTGCGGCTCGTCAGTTGCAAGAGAAGTGCAGAAAACGACACCAGACTTTGCACTCGCCTTTTGTTGATTTCACCAAGGCATTTGATACGGTGAACCGCGAGGCATTGTGGCTGGTGTTGGGTAAGTTTGGTTGCCCGAGTAAGTTTGTAAGTTTAATTGAATGTCTGCACAGTGGTATGCGAGCGAGGGTGCAGCTGAGTGGAGAGACTTCGGATGACTGCAATTGTCTCTGGTGTGAAGCAAGACTGTGCCTTAGCTCCTGCCCTGTATGATATATATATCTTCATGCAATCATGTGCTTTTGATGCCGCTTGTGCTTACGTCGTTCTTGTGGAGTACCGTATTGATGGTGGCTTGCTGAACATCCGTCGTTTCGGTGCAAAAACTCTAGTCTGTAAGACAGCTATCCGTATAATGTTGTTTGCTGACGACTGTGAGTTATCTGCACACAGCGCGGATGAGTTGCAGCACATGACTAGTGCGCTGGCTTCGACAGCGGCCAAATTCGGGCTCACCATCAACACAAGCAAAACTGTCTGTCTCTTTCAGCCTTCCCTGGAGGTGTAATCTTCAATATTGCCGCTAATCAGCATTGGTACTGAAGTATTGGAAACCACCTCCCGCTTCTACTACCTTGGGAGTGTGATGTCGACTGATCATCAGCTTCACAGTGAGATTCGTATCCGTGTGTCGAAGGCAGCGGCGACATTCGGGAAGCTTGAGTACCGAGTGTGGAACAACCATCAGCTTACCATTGGCACGAAGCTGATGGTGTACAAATCCGTGGTGCTGTCCGTTCTTCTATACGGCAGTGAAACGTGGACGACGTACCGTCGGGATGTGCGATATCTCGAGCGGTTCCATCAGCAGTGCTTGCGACGGATTTTACTCATCGGATGGGGCGACAGAGTTGCCGACACGGAAGTGTTACATTGAAGTGGAATGTATGGAGTGGACTGCATACTATTGCTGAGACACCTTAGATGGCTCGGTCATGTGAGCCGTATGGATTCGACGCGGATACCGAAAAAACTCTTATATGGTCAGCTGAGTATAGGGAAGCGGCACGTGGGGAAATTAAAGTTACGTTACCAGCACATGATCAAAATGAGCCTTTTAAGTTCTAATCTTGATTGCAGGTCACGGGAATCGAAGGCGGTTGATCGGCGTGTACGGCGCGATCTGATCACGAAGGCAGTTGCCGAAGTGCGGGAGAAAGACCTCATGCATACAGAGAGGAAGCCGCAAGCGCCGATGGGTTGTATTCCATCGACATCGAGCGCATGGTGCTGTAGCACATGCGGTCGCGAGTGCCTGAGTCAGGCAGGCCTAGTGAGCCGTGAGCCAGGCCACCCGGGACCACTACCGAAGCGACGACGGGTCCTGCAGAGAACGTAGACAGAAGCGGCACAGCGTTTGTAGGTACGCTGCATTCGATTTACTAACCGTGTGTTTGCATGCTAAGTCCCTTTATTTCATGTGGTAGATTTTCAACTTTGTCCTAATGATTTTCTTTCTCATATTATTGTCTCCTTGTACTATATTCTATAAACTTGCACACGTTGCTGAAGCCAATTGTAGTTAAATTTGATAACATTTTCCCGTTTGTGGCATTTTCTTAAAATATGTTTTTTGACCTCTTGAACTTATCGCGGATTCGTTCGTAATCATTTTTTAAACGCTCATTTAGTGAAGAGTTGTCTCCGTATCTGTATGCATTATCTGATTTATTTTATTTCATCTTGTCGTTTCAAGTGATTGGCTGTTGCTTGATATCCCCGGTGTGGCTGCGCTTGATGTGCATGTTGACAAGGTGCCTACCTGTCTATTACCCACCACGTCGTCCATACTGGCTCCAGGAGACAGTTGGTCGTTGCTGGATGGGACGGGGTGCATGGTCCTCGTGGTCGTGCTAGGCTGGAAGAGTGGTTCATATATAACTTGACCAATAAACATTTAGCAAGGTGCTACAACACACGAGTAACAGCAACAAAAAGGAGGAAGATTCAGGAGAAGGGATGCGAAGATTCATGTGTTTAGTGAGCATTGAGCTTCCCGGTTGCCCAGGCAGAGGAAGCGTGTTGACTTAAGGGACCCCACCGCGAGCCTTTGGTCATAAAGACCTGACCCGCAAGGCAGCGGGGCGATAAACGAAGACCGTGGATAGCCACTTCGATGGACATGACTTAGAAAGTGCGGAGCTGCCTCCAGTTGATAGAGTTCTTGACTTGAAGCATGCTGAGGTTATAGCCCTAACGTGTGAAAGCTCACAAACGTGCGAAGCAAACTAGACGGATCAGCACTGGCTGTCAGCCGTTTCGGGCTGCGCTTTGCACCTCAAATTGCAAAATTTTCCTCCAAGATTGACAAGGACTACTCCCTGCACTGACCCTTGATGAGGATCAGCTGGAAGTAGTTCAGAGATTCAACAATCTGGGCAGCTGTATCAGGATCCGTAGGACGGAAGATGAAGTGACAAATCGTATAGCCAAAGATCTGGGCGCTTTTGCACATCTTCGTCACTTATAGCGCCGGCACGGCATCACTCTCAACTTCAATGGTAGAGTCTACAATGCAGCCGTCCGTCCAACTCTCATGTGCGATTCTGAATGCTAGCACATTAGAGCGACCGACATAAAAAGGCTAGTTGCGTTCGCCCAGCAGGGCCTTGGCAGTTAGGCTAACATCTGGTGGGAGCACTGCGTGAGCAATGAGCGTGTTCAGTGTCGTATAACTGGAGCAAGAAGAGCGAGTGCGCCGCTCAGCACCGGTACTTCACACACCAGGCTCCGATGGCTGGGCCGTGTTGCGCATGCCAGCACACTGACTCCTGCGAGGTGCATTGTTTGCGCGACCGGGGTCTGAATGCAAGGAGGAGCCCAACAGATGACTTGATCAAGATGGATGAAGAAACACACTTTGAAGTTGTGCACTTAGGCATAACTTAAAGTATGTCATGAGAAATTCTCCTACAAAAGCTTACTAACCAATGAATGACAACAGACGGGTGTGACGAGGTTAGTCTAACACATCGGTTGACTGTATCGTTTTTCGAAGATATGATCGCCACTTAATTCAACAGGCCATGATGGAAGGCAGCGTCGGAGTGGAGACGAGAAAGCTGTCCGGAATTCAAATATACAGGGCTAAAGTACATAGGTCGTTCGTATCACAGTTCAGATGGAAAAGTTGTACGAAGCCACAGCCTAATCGGGCACCAATTGTTGGACCGCAACCCCAAGTGTGGATGAAGGTAGATAGAAAAATACAGCCAGTGGGAAGCAAGTATATAAAAGAATCACTGGATAGATCATCACGCTAAATAGTTACACCACAAGAACGGCAAAAATGCGCTGTAAACCGACGACACGCAGTCTGCAAATGGTTTATCAAATAGCACGTCAGTTCAACTCCTCACATAGAAAGCGAGGCGCATACTACTGACAAATGTCAAGGGTAGGAAATGACCGCGTGGTTGGCTGTAATGTGCTCCAGCCTGTGAGTTGCTGCCGAACCATGTGCACTGTACTGCTGAAATGTGGAGCCGAAATCGATTCAGGGAAGTGCAACGATTTGGCAAGGAAAGTACTGCTTATTGGATCACAATTCAGATCTTTGCGAAAAAGCGGGGATGCATGACCAATTGTGTTAACCTGTTTCGGTGTGCGGACTACAGACGCTTTCAACTATGCGAAACAAACAATGGAAAACAACTTTGGAGCATGGGGAGATTGGTAGTCATAAGTCTAAATAAAATGCGAATCAGCTTACTAAGCGATAAGCCGGAATGCGGTGACCCCACCAGACCTGACGACTGATGCACCAATCGCGCTGCTTCGATGGTGATAACCAGTCAAACCAAGAGGCTCTCTGAGATTCCGGGTAAATGAGTAACTGTCCGTTGAGTGCGGCCTGAAATGAAGAGGTAGAAGGAGGTAGTCAATGATATACAAATCAACGAATTTATGACATATCCAGTCCACTGTTTATCATATATGATTCGCGCACCAATCTGGGGTGAATTCAGCTGCCTTGATACGTGTCGCCAAAATTATGAAAATAACCCTAACTCGAGGAGAAAACAAGAACGTAAATCACCTGATGAAGTAGTCGGAAGTCCGAGGTGACAGAACGGACGCAAGAACGTCATCAACTCGTGATATCGTCAAATCGGATATGGTGATCAACAGTTGATGGGGTTGGTCCCGAGGACCACAGACGAGAAGAGGACAAGCACCAACACAAATCAGATTTTTGGTGAATATCTTCTTGCTCTTTGGTCACGTTATTTACCAGTCGTCAAGTGGTTTCACCCAAATGAGCGCAGTATTGGTTGAGAATATCAGCCGAGGTAGCCGACCGATAAGCATGAGGGACACATAAAAGAACCCGTGAACAAGATTCGAGTTCCACAGTCAATCCAATGAGCCCCTATCCTGTCAAACATTAAGCGCGCAATCCAGGGTTGATGCGAGTTGTGTTCGTCAATGGGGAAGTGGAGCACGTGATCGGTCACACCCAATCGGCTGCAGCGTAGTCACAAAGTGAGTACCGGTTAAACATTCATTACCTCATCTCAGGCTCCTGGATACTAGAGTTGATGATTTTAACTCGTCAATTCCCCTGGGTTTATTTGGCAATGATAATAATAATAATAATAGGCACACAGTTATTGTAGTGACTATAACCCACGGATCCGATCATGGTTGATGTATTGAACTAAAGGAATCTGAAGAATACCCACTTCTTTTGCCCTGTCGGCCATCTCTTGGGTACGGATGAACCATTGTTCGCGTATCACCGGTTCGATTATGTCGCCTGTTCGGGAACATCTGGGCAAAACACTGACACCCCACTGCGAAGCGATATCTTCACGGCCGCGATACAAACCCAACTCGTTCAAACGTTCTACCAAACGTTCGCGGGCTGAAAATCTTGGTAAGTTCTGTGCAGAAGGGTAAAGCGAATAGACCACAGACAATAAGAAACGTTTAAGATTGTGTGAAAGGAATGAGCATTGAACGAGGGAATATTGAGAAGGCAACGATAGGTTGAACCTACAGGGCTCCTCATTGTCAAATGAATATGCAACGGCTTCGGTGAACCGTGGTAATTCCACAAAAAAGTAACTCGCAGCCAAGCGAAGCTGAGGAGTAAAGAATCCGATCACGATGCCCAGGTGAAATGCACAAGTTCGCAGGTAGTTGGCTGGCCAGAAACTGACAAGCGGTTGCACTATAAGCATGCATTCGGCCTGACTTGAGGCACATACGTACCAATGCGAGTTTAAGCGTACAGGGTGAATACAATGAGTGACGGATGTGCAGTGCTGCTAAGTAAAAGCATACTGCCCATGACTCAGAAGAGTAAAGCAAGGTCTCGTAAGCACCAGATGAGGAAGAGTGCTACTTCGTTTGTGGTTCGGAGAACATTTGCTGGAGATCACAGACCGTGGACGAAAAATGTGTTTACAGCAAAATACTACGCATAAAGTGATCGGCTGAAAAATGGGAATGTTACGATGAGTCCTGTCTCAGTTGGTGTCATCTTAAGGTTAGCACAGTAAATGGCACACTGTTTAGAGACACTGCCATTTGTTGCTACTGCGAGGACATGTTGTCATATGCACTCACAAGATCACAGGAGATAGCTAAAGCTAATCAATTTAACCACTACTCTTGTGGAGGTAGTAGCCTAAGGGCCACCTCACAAAGTTAGGATATGACTGTGGCTTGGTTCGCACTGCTGGACAACCCCATCATTCACAGGGCAGCGAGGTGCATGAGGGTGTGCGACGAGTAACATTGTACAACAGCTGGCCACATGAACTACTCCGGATTATTGTGAGGTAGTGATAGCAAAAGCCGTCGCAAATAGGCAAGATCACTGGTTTGAGGGGGGTATTGGCCGATGATAGGCCTCAAAAGGACTTCAACTGAGTAGATTGGTGACCGAGTTCATTAAGATTATAGAGATCTCAGAGAGATATCCATAAATTAAGAGCAATCACTGAAACATCGGTGACGCAGATGGAATGTAACCGATGGCAAAGTGGAAAATCACGAAAGTGGATGCTGGAAAGCCATGAACATAAATTATACACTATGAGAAGCGATTTATAATGATTTTACCTCGGTCGATATTAGCGCAAGAGTGGGGAAAGTACTGGTGTACAAATGTGCATAGTGAATACTACAAATGGTGACCGTCCTGAAGAGAATGGCATAGCTGCAGCTGTATCACCTAGCGCGCTCCCTGCCGGGGTACAAACTCGCTCACACAGACGGCTCCTGAGGTTTTCAGCTTAAGGTTTCAAATCTATGGAAAAGAACTTAACAAAGGTAGTGTATTCATGTGGAACAAGGTTATGGAAAAGATGCTAGAGTACACTTCTCAAAAAAGAACAACGCGTTTATGATAAGATGTCGCTAGGGTTAACGCGCTTGTTTAATATCATAGGGGAGTTCGTGAGTGCTCACATCAACTACTCGTCAACGGACATTACTCAGAAAATGGAGCAGTTTCGTGAGCAGCAACGGATTCGTTTACCAAATACATATTCACTCTCATTGAGCCTTCATTACGCTACACAACTTACTACACGCTACTCAACAACGCACTGAAGATATCACCTCGATTAGTGACGGAACGTTTGCAACAAATTTGCCAAGCTCAGCGAACAGTTCGACTGTCACCAGAACAACCTGAGCTACCAATTTGTGCTCTTATCCCGAAGTATACGCACAATACGAGTAAGCGGAACATGTGAACATAAAACATTAAGGGTTGTGGCAATTATCACCAGTAAGACGGTGCGAACTAGGGCAACAGAGCCTATGGTACTCAGGTGAATAATGAAAATAGAGTTAGAAGATATGCATCTGTGTTGCGATTTGTTTAAATGTACTCCACGGTTAACTGGAAGGCGATCGAATAGTTCGGACGTCTGCCTTGAGATCTAAAGATCACCGGTTCGAATGTACCTAGTCGCGGTCAACCTAGCATGCGACTAGTGGTGGTCGCGTGTCAGCAAGGTCTCGATATGACATATCGGCAAACTAATGATGTACTGCTTAGTTGACAAAATTTGGAAGCTTTGAGCATGCGCTGAGTGACGACTAGCGGGGTCACAGGGTGACCAAATGCTATCTAGCGCATTTCACCATTAAAGAGATAGAAAAGAGACCACTGAACTGGCTCACAGCAGACGACCGCCCACGTGCCACCGATGCGGAGGTGGCGATGGTCCGAGATCAGTAAGCAATGCAAAACAACAAAGGGCACGTCTAAGGGAGAGAGCCCCTCGCGAACACGGCAATGATAAGACCATGATCGATAAATCACGTACTGAGAACTCCCCGCCGACGTCCGTCACGCACCCGCTGTCGTCCAGCATATGGATCACCGGTAGATCGTGAGATTTCGCGTATTCCCAATCGGCTGTACTGTGCCCCGGACTCAATTTTACCACGCCTGTCGGGAGAGAGCAGAAGTGACAAAGTGAGGAGATGTGAAAAGAGTTGAACAGTGCGTACAGGAAGTGCGCATAAGCGACGGCAAACATGGTGTGGTGACGTCGCTACCAGGCTCAATCCTGGTTTACGAAGATTACCGTACGAAGACCGCTGCGAGAAATTAGGATTCTAAACCTTGTTCTATCGTCGGGTGCGAATCGATCTCATCGTGGCCTACAGCACATTGCATCTCGATGAGTTTCCCATATTGAGACCACTGCTTCACCTACGAAGGCCATGCACCAGAAGCGGACACTGGTACAAGTTTGGTGCCGGACATAAAGCGAGTTCCTCATCCCTTGTGATTCGGACGGAGAGTGATAAATGTTTGAAACGGTCTACCAGAACATGTCGTGGAGGCCACATCTGAGCAGCGGTTCAAAAGGTTGTTGGATTTAAATTACCGCCATTCGATTCAGAGAACAATCGCCCATTGGCAACGATGTCATACTTTTGTGAGTCAAATGCTAAAGCAAGTCAAACATGTTCAAATGCTACATAAGAAATGGAAGAATCCTTAGAGTATTAACAGGTGGCTGATAAACTTTAAGATATTTTTGATGAATTTGTACAGACTTAAATGTCCACTTGCTCCAAAAAAACAGTATTCAGTATAAGACAGCATTCAGGATAGGCATAGAGATGCATAATGAATGCAAAATGAACTAATTATGAAAGTTGCAACGATTTGACGAATTAAGCACACGGTCAATCATCTAGTGAAATCTCAAAGGAGCGTCAAGCAGACGTTACCATCGCCCGGACCAGTCAGCAATCTACGTTCTGATGCTCTGGTGGGTAGCATAGCCTCGACAGCAAATACGATAAAATGGCAACAGTGGTAACACATCAGCACTTTGTGTGTTGGTCAACTGCTGCAATACAATTACGGGGCATTGAAGTGGAGGGACCTAAAAAGAAACAAATTACATGTGAAAATTCATGATCAACTTCTCCAACACCTTGTTACGACGCCCTTTTCCGGTGGGAGACGGTGGACGAAAATAGAAACCAGTAGCTTTGTCACAACCGGTGTCGAGATGCTATCCCTGTGGGTGGAGAAGCGCGGCAACTGACCTTATTGTATATCAACGTTACGATCGATTTGCTCCAGTCGGATGGGGTGGTCGTCCCATACATGTAGGTTCGGAGGACGTCAGAGGCGTATTCAAGCAGCGAAAGGACGAAAAAACCAGGATCAGGCCAGATAAAAGGATTGATAGCAGCTCCAACATCTCGAATCTCAGGCCTGGTTGGAGTTCGTGAACTAAATGGCCATGGTGCAACCCTCGCCACCCTAAAAAGCCAGTCGTGATAGTGCTTCACCGACGCACGAGTCCGTGGGACCCGTGGTTCTTATGAATGGGATGATATGAGTGGGTTACCCAACGGTCCCGCCTTTCCCACATCAACAACAAACTTCCTTGTTAGATCCTGTACTGTGTTTTATCTCGCACACAATAGCTTATCTGGTCGTATTTTGTTCAGTGTTAACAGGAATTACGTTTAGGGATGTGGGCAGACTTACTTCGGAAACGTAGCCTCTAGTGTGCTGACGATTGATGGTCCAACAAGTGGTAGCTCCTGTGATAGGTGTGGCTACAGAAATCCATTCCACTGAAATTCGATGCTCTCAGAGCAGTTTGGCGAACGTTTAGTGGATAGGATGAACTGGTATGCTTATTTAATCGTGCGCTGAGACAGCTTCCAGGTTGCCAACCGAGGTACTCGGAAGTGGTGCTTTTCAGGGAAGTTCAACAAGAAACAGTAAGGGGACAAGGCCCGACCAGAGTCAACGTGCGTGTTCCGAGAACTAGTGGTCCTACATGATGAAATCACATCATCTAAAGCGTGTAGCCATATGGGCAACTAGGGTCCGCTGATGATCAGTTCTCAGGGCACGCCCAGTGGCACAGCATTGCTCACTGTGTCCGAGGCCGGCGATAATAGAAAGACACATCGACAGAGAAACAAAGTAGTGTGGATCGATATCGGGTTTTTGACGGCATGCCATTTTACACGATGAACTTATAGCTGTAAATAACAGAAATCTGGTGACACTGTAACTGCCTTCGCCTAATATACGGACCACTATTGATGGTTAAGGGCAACGCACACTATGAATAAAAAGTTCTAAGTTTTACGGGCCTTGAAGATACGAGAAGTATTTTCTTAGGTAGTATGAACACCGGCGTTGATGGAGCTATCTGGCTAAGCGAGGCGATTGATCGATTCTATCAGTTGTTTGGTAATTGTTAGTAATGATAGCATATCAACACACCCATAGCTGCTGTTAATCATGAAGTTGCGTATCACTTCGCCGCAAAGAACTTAGAAAGAAGCTCGCACATCCCCAAGGAAAAGAATCTGCGTAACACATCATGTAGAGACGAAAAGCGCTGCGTGCAGCAGCGATCAACCGAATACAACGCACCCTCCACGTCTGAGGAGAACGCTACACTAGGTGTCTATGTGTATGAAACTGTGCAAGCATCTGGCGAGGAGCGCTCTGCTGTTTCGAGAATCGTGGCAAAAGCAATCGCCACCGAGGTATGAGTCAGTTCAGATTCGATCGTTTCGATCTCCACGAGGACCAGTAGGCAACCGCAGTGTGATGCTGATGAGAAGCTAGGGGAAAATAACAATGAAACAAAGACAAAACAAACTCCACACAACATTCATAACTTCAGGATGGATAGTCCCGTTGAAAATGTGTGAACTAAAGATAGTTAACTTAGACGCATTACCGCCCAAGTTCGAAAGAGAGAACAAACCTGAGCCTTTGTCAGGGACAGCGAATTCGGCATCTGCCAAGATGGGGATGCGGCGACGATTGGGGCAGAATGGGTGAATGACCTCACGGCCAATGAGATGATGGTAGCGCGTGTCGTCCGGATGAACTATCAGAGCAGTATCCGCCAGCATAGTCTCGAGGCGAGTGGTTGAGACCACAATCTCTTCGTTGGTTCTGTTCGAGGAACTAGCAAAAAGTAGACTAGAATGGAGCGCGGCCAATAATAATAATAACGCTGGTCAATAAGATACCGGCAGAATACATCCGTTTTGGGCAGTGTTTAATAAAAACGTGGAAAGATCGACGAGCGTATAGCAACGCAAGCAACCGCGTTTTACTGGGCGGTCCTATATGGTAGGCTCAACGGCTAGAACAAAAGGTTTGACCTTTTAACAGCAGAAGATATGGAATGGTGCTGGGTTGTCGATAGAAAACGGAAGGCTTCATCGTTATGCGTATCATCGCCTAACAAAGCACACCAAATAGAAGGAGGCTGGAACGGAGAAATCATAAACAAATCAAAAGTCGAGCATGGTTAAACGAAGACATTTTTCGGACAATGAGTGTCCTTCTCCATGGACCGTCTCCTTAGACCCACCCTCACGCGTAGAAGTCGAACGTGAGATCAGATTGCTGAAATTGCACATGGCCGCAGGGGCAGATAGAATTCCCAGCCCTCTTTAAATACCGAGAACCTGCTTTTGTGGATGATTTACACAATTTACTAGTTAAACTTGGGAGCAGGAAACTGTCCCAACCGACTGGAGCCGCTCCGTCATAGTCCCAATTTTCAAGGGGGACTCATAATCGGAATGCGGCAATCATAGACGGATCAGTCTGATTTCGATTGCCTCTAAATTGCTTGTGTTTGTCGTTCTCCACAGACTGACTGGCACTCATGAAGGCCAAATCCGCGAAGAGTAAGCCGGGTTTTGTCGAGGTCGGAGCTGCATCGACCACATCCTCACTTTGCGTCAATTGCTGGAGCACCGCCATGTTTATTGGCGACCTACCGTAGTCGTGTTTCTCGACATCAAAGGTGCATTCGATTCGGTTGATCGATGTGCCTTTTGAGACTATCTGCTGAGGAAAGGTGTGCCTGATAAATATGTAAACATTATCAAAGCGCTTTACGCGCATAGTTCGGGCAGAGTGAGGGTTTATGGCAAACTGTCGCCATCCTACAGCATCACCAGCAGTGTGAGGCAAGGTTGCCCGCTGTCACCTTTCCTATTTAACTTCGTCATTGACGAAGTCATGACAACAGCGTTCGCTGGACACGACCTAGAAGGTGTGGAGCTACTTCCTGATGAGTGACTTCTTGGAGTATGCGGACGACATTGTCCTCATATGTGACAGCTGTCAAAGGTGCCAAGAAGCACTGGCTATCTATCGTTTTGGGCAATGCTTTACTCCATCGAAATGCAAAGTACTTCTCCAAGATTGGCATGGTCCCAACCCTACGCTAACGCTTTGTGGTGATCAGCTAGAAGTCGTTCAGGAATTCAAGTACCTGGGCAGCTATATTAGCGCCTGTGGGATCGAAAATGAGGTTACGAACCGTATCGCAAAAGCTCGAGATGTTTTTGCCAATCTCCGCCACCTATGACGCAGACGCGACATCGCTCTCGCCCTGAAGGGCAGAGTTTATAATGCAGCCATCTGTTCAACTCTCCTATACGGTTGTGAAACCTGGCGCATCAGGTCGGCATACTTAAAGCGGCTAGTCACGTTCAACCATCGCTGTCTTCGCAACTTAGCTCATATCTGGTGGGAGCACCGCGTGAGCAATGAGCGTGTTCAGTATCACTTATTTTGTGCAGGAAGAGCTAGTGAACCGTTCAGCACCATTATATCACGCACCAGGCTCCGATGGCTGGGCCACGTGTTGGCATAATATATATGGCACCCGTTTGAGAGAGGGTGGAACAGCATTTGAGTGAACTTCGGATTAGGAAGCGGAAGGGTCGATAGCTTTCGCCTCACTGAAAATCATCCTCAGTTGGAACTATTGGTTACACGTCCACTGCCTCCAGATTCTAACACACTTGGGGATTGTGTCGACTAACGTAAGCATACTTCGTAGACATTTTTGGAAAAATATGAAAGGCATAGGGCTATAACGCTTTAGCTGGATCCATCTAGAGAGTAAATAATTTATACCGCGGTTACTTAAAGCCATCTTACATAGTTCGTCCGTTCGAATTCGACTATACCGTACTACAGATCGGCAAGATGGCGCACCGAAATGTTGGTTAATTCGATGACAGTAAGAGTATGGATAGTGACATCGTGAGATGGCAGGTGGCCTAATAAGTAGGTAACATGTATGTACAAGAAAGCAACTCACGTAGGTGAAGTGGCTAGCGGATAGGCAAAATAGTCCACTATGCCAAATTGCTGAGGCCGTTTGTAACCGGGGACAGGGAGCGTTGTTGACTTGCGCAGCTCCAATTTTTCCACCTAAGAAAGATTGGGAGATGGGTAGGTAAGCAAGTAAGGGACATGAACACCAAGACATTGCACAATTGGCTTTAAAATATATCACAAAAATTGAGGGAATGAGGTGACAATGACGTTGGCAAAACATGCGCGCAGTCAGTGCAAAAAAACCTCCGCAAACCCCGGTGGTGAAAAGAGGACGCAAGCATTTCTGTAGAGCATTTGGTTAAGACGAGTGGCATTGGGAAATGGATGCGGTTGCTGTGGACCTAGCCAAGCACACAGCAAGTGCTGTCGTAGCGGATTGTGGAAACCAAGAGAAAAGAAAAGGTGAACTAGTAGAAGGAAGCAAATGTGTAGGCAACATGTGCTTATTTTGTGTCAGAGAGCAGCGAGACGCATAGCTGAAGGCCGCTGGTGTGACATTACATCTCTGCCCAGCCTGTAGAATGATTGAGAGGACCGAATGTCAATTCACCGTGTCAAAAAGTACATAAAACAAAAAACATAACAAAATAAAGAAAATGCGGGATTGAGGGACTTAAAACTGGAGGCAATGGGGTGGGTGCCGCTAACTCGGTTGCAGAAGTACAATTTTTTGTGTGGCTTAGGAAAAGTGCAATACCCTGGGTCACCGCCATACGAGGAGAGTGTAGCGCATACATCCTCAATCCGGTAAGGGTGTCTCCTAAATATGAAGCCGATGTTAACCCCAAAATCGGAACCGCAGACTCGATGGAGTTAAGACCTGGTATTTGTCATGTGTCATAGGGCCAGCTTAGCGCGTTTGATAAGAAAAAGTACTCAAGGGTGTTATATGAACTGCATGGGCAGATATGGTAAAAAAGAAACAATAAAAGACCTGTGAGGAGAAAGTTGGGACTCCGAAAAACCCACACCGTCCGGTCATCAGAGGAGTCGTTAACAAGAGATCGGATTAATCTGTCAAGGGAATGGTTCCTCAGATAGAGAGAACACAAAGTGCGCTCGACATGTTTGTGAATCGTAGTCGTTAAACCTCTAGTACCTAATGACGGCAGAAGTATCCGTCAGAGTGGTAATTCCGGCCAAGACAACTGTCAGATGAGATGAAGGCAAACGGAGAACAGGATAATCGAAAACCGAATTGCTCCAGATGATACGGTGAAACTAACTCGGAGCAAAACGAAAAGTACGGTTACGAACAGACAAAAAAGTTGCATCAATCGATAGCACTCGCATGAAGCAGCTAAGGGTAAAGTGTTTGAGCTTCACGACAGCAGAAACCTGTGCGAACAACACTTGCCTCAATATCGGAAATGGTAGACCGAAGGGCGCAACACCACGAGACCGGAGCAGAGGCGCGGTAGATCAGACCCTCTTCGTACAGTCGCACAAATGCCTCGGTGACTGCCCGGGTATGGTGCTGTGACAAATACACACAAAAAGGGTTGGATAAAAACAAGAGAGAGACAGAAGGTACTGTTCAGCAGCTACAAATAAAATGTAGCATAAAACTTATAAATGAATGGAAATAGAACTCAGCACAACTGAATCTAGTTAAATAGCAGCCAAGTGTTAGTGCATTGAATGAGAGGAACGTAGGAGCTCCTCAGCAACAATTCGGTCCCATACAAGAAAGTAGCTTACATATCCGGAACTCTACGGATGACGGTGGAAAATATAGCTGGTTGGTCGATGTATTCAAGAGTAGTAAAGTGCTCCGACTCAATCAGAAATGAATGTCCACCGGTCGATGGAAGCCAGCCATAACAGTTCAACCGGATTAATTCAGAAGCCATCTGATTTTCTTCAAAATTGCCAGAAATGAGGAGCGATTGGGTATGGAAAGAAAAGGTTTGAGGGTTTTTTGCCTACGTCGGTTATCCATCTCGTAGTTCACAAGGTCAATCCGGTCAAGGAGACGAAACCGCAAGCAGTCACAGAATGTGTGTACGAGTGAGCTCATAGGCGACACACAGTCGACGGACATGACGTAGACGTTCAACATGAAGTGCATACTCAACTGGCTTTGCCAACTCGAGTGTCCATGTTGGACATCACTTGTGGGGAACTCAAAAAACAGATGAAAATCGGCCTACTAGAGCATGCTAATTCGTGTAGTGAGGAGGTACCGTAGATCCAGTAATACCATCCAACACCCCACATGGGGGAAACACGTCCACTAGTCTATTACTGTGCATGAGGGTGGTATAGGTCCAACAGACAAGGCGAAAGTGAAGTAGAGTTCTCTGCGATCAAAGTGGGTTCAGAACTTCCGTCAAAGTGGGTTGACCGGATATAAGCTAGTCACAAGCGGGCGCAGCCAAACAGTCACTAACACACAGAAACACGGATAGTCATTCCGTCTCTTCGCAGTACAGAGGTGTTGGACCATCCGTCACTGATTCAATTCCGGTAAGGAATGTTCTCGTTTACCGTAAGTTTCCCATTCCAGTAAAAGCTAGCACCTAAGGAGTTAACGCAAAAGTGTGTGGAATATTAGCTACCGAGATAGCACAAGTAGTATATAAGCAAGGGCACATTTATGACTCAAACAAAGAACATATGGCTTTCGCAACAGTAAAAAATAGTGGTTTGGAATTGTCCCAACGAATCTCGAGGTAGTGTGATGAATTCCGTTTTCTATAAATGAAACAGATGCTTCCGCTGAACATTACTGGTCAGATTCACTTTACGGTTGAAAAAAGGATATCCGAGAACAGGTTGCTTCACTGGAACAGGAAGCAGAGTGCATTGCTTCAGACCAAAGGGGATATCCAGAACGTTTATAGTACTACCAGGCGCCTATCTCATAGGATTCGTAAGCACATCCCGATGTGGTTTTGCAGAGATGAAACAAGGTCTCCTAATAGCTCCATCATGTCGCACCATCTCGAGTACTGTCAAGTATGTTCAGAAAACGGTTTCAGAATTAACTACTCCATTCTAGAGCTATTTCCGGAAACATCTAAAGCTATCTATATTCGCCACCTCAAGCAGAAGCTGTGTGTGCAAAAGCAAATTGTACGTCTCATATCTGTCGTTACATGATCGTCTGATATGATTTGTACCCCGGTTAACACCTGATTGATTGTGAAAATGATAAACTTAGGTGCTCTTCCCTTGTACTTAATCTACTGCCTTCAGTGACAGGGTGACTTATCGATTTGGTCGTTGCATTCAGCATCTTAACCAATATGTAGTCCATTTAGGGATATCTAGTACGCAACCCGTACTATGTAAACCTAAGAGTTTAACGAATGTTACCGAAAAGAATTCGTTCCGCATTACTTGGCTCACAATTTGATTCATGGTAGTTAGTGGCATTGTTGAAGATAAGCATCCACGTGATTCATAGGAAAATAATTACTTGTGACGAACTGTTCAGCGTCCAGGTAAAGTTACAGAACACGGAAAAGCAGTGCACACATTCCATTAGTTCATGGAATCCCTAGCTTCATAGGGAAAAACAATTTGTGAAGAAGTTTGTTTAGGACAATTCCCTACAGATGCTTAGAAGAATGAAACACACTCGCCGAAAGGGACAAATGCTCACTTCCCTTAGGGATGAGTAGGGAACAATTTCAATAAGTCCTGAAAGATATCACAGGATGTTTATAGCTATGCGGACAATTGGGTCCCCTGAAGCCCAATCTCATTGACTTAACTTAAACCCAGTTGTGTGTGCTTGCGTGCAATGCCGGTTGAGTCACTACATGGAGGATAAAAACGGATGTAAAATGGATAATTTTCAGATCGGATAAAATTAAGAAAATTAACTGAGTGGCAATCGAGTGTCCATATTATGAGGATGGTCGTAGCAAACCATGGCCTGGGATCAGAGATAAGAAAGATCTACAAAATCAATAGGATCTATCAAATCCAAATAACAAGAACTAAAGACTAGGTAGTGGTTGTTAAATGACACGAACGATCACATTCCCTGTTCCCGAGAATCGGCGGAAAGTAACGGAATACTTAAGAACTGACCGCAAGCACACTGAGTGATACACATGTTTGAAGCGTGTGAAAAGAAAAATAAGTCAAGTTGAAACTTCGTCACGCATCACACAGGCACAATGAGAGAGCTATTCGAAGGCAGAACGAAAACTCACCGGACTGAGGGTGAAAAACTCGCGATCCCAATCCAAACTCAAACCCAGACAAGCCAACTGTTCACGAATGCGGAGTGCGTGGCTAGGAATGGAGGACAGTTACCATGGGGACGTATAAATAATCAAGGGAAAGTAGAGTGAGTATAGGCGATAAGACATAGCCTTTTACAGTAGAAGCAGTACATAGTTTTCAGATGCCCACAGTCGGTTCCCGCAGGCTAGTAGTGGCGGAAGACGACCTCCAGCCAACTAAATCAGCGTGCATTAGTCTGTAAGATGTAAGGGGGGGCCTTAATGATGGAGTATAACGAGGCAAAGTCAGCGTAGCCCTATGGCAACATGAAATTCATTACAATTCCCGCGGAGAAGCGGTCAGCTGCAAGGGAGATGTAGAACAATAAAACTTGAACCGATGAGAGAATGCCAAGGGGTAAGAAACGAGCTGCCTAGGGAGCAGTCAGTGCCTGTTGACGAGCATGGAGATGTCATCCATATGAGCCATCGCTAACTTCTTCAGCATTTGGTTTTCTGCATCACAGACTGGAGTGAAAGCGTCAACTAGGAGGATTCAAAGACGTGAACGGGCTCCCAACACATCAAGGCCATTTCTCACATAAGTGAAGCAACCCGACGTGCACAAGGGTGATCGATGCAAGAGGAACGTGAGGTGTATCTCGCATTCACATCACCGAGCCGCTCGGTTGGGAGCTGAGTAATGGTGGGCATTCAGTGACACATAAGCTTACTTGCCCCATTTAGAACAAAACATGGAAGTTGAATAATCAGGAAGCGTCACTCGTTAATAACGATGGGGCAAGTGCTACTTGCATCCAACATTGCCCGAAACTCAAGTAGACGGTCAGAAATATGGAACACTAAACCACTCGAGCCCCAGACAGGCTATAAAATAACTTCTGTAATAAGAATTAGTCAGTGCGTGTGCAGATTGTTATTATAAGAGTTAATTCGATGGTTAGAATACGAGTAAGGCTCGGTGAACGACCGGTTGATGTACTTACTGGGCTTGCGACGTTTCGTTTATGACAAAAGCTTCTTCACTTTGATCCAAAAGTGAAATGTAAACCTAGCAATTACAGTGACAAGTCATTCACAAATTTTTATAGATGATGACTTCCCGATCGGTTCCAAACATGTTCCACGATATCCAAAACGAGTAAAGTATGCTGTATAAGAAACTATCGCACAACATAACTAAGGTAAACAGTTAACATCTGGTGAAAGGCAGGTTTAGACAGGATTCCAATTAACATTATAAAAGAACTGGCAACGTCGAGGCGCCAACCACATGGAGGGCGCTGTAATGTATGCCAAACAAATGCAAGTTAAATTGCAATCATGCTGCTTGATTTCAAAGGAATATATATATATATATATATATATATATATATATATATGTGCTAGAAGCCATAGACACCTGTCGCTTCTTCAGGCGGCGTTTCTCCTCCGCACGCAGCAGTGATTTCTCATGCACCTGGGCAACCCCATCTTGATATGTCTTCACCATCGGCGCCGATCCATTGTCATCGCTTCCAAACCTCTGAAATGAACGTCAGTACGTGGTAAACTCACGTTGATCGCGTCTTGCTAAGGTAACATCGGTTTCCCCACATTCAGTTTCCCGGCACGTAGCTGGCCACAAAGCAACTGTTTCGGCATCCAGGTCGAATCCACGCGGCAAAGATGCCCGAGTCGAGTCAGATGCCGCAGGAGAAGTATGCAGTCAACTGCATACATGTCACTGAAGCGGACCACCTCCATGTCAGCAACTCGGTCACGACAACCGTTGCGCAGAATACGACACAGGCACTGTTGATGAAATCACTTCAGTTATCAGACGTCCTAAGGATAAAGCGTCCAGGTTTTGCTGCCGTATAGAAGAACGGACAGAACCATTGATTTGTATATCATCAGCTTCGTCCTAACCGCAATCTGGTGACTGTTCCACACAGTTTTTCCAGCTCGCTCAATATCTAGTGGTCGCTAGAGGGCACCTACACCAGGCAGCAAAACCTGGAGGGGGTTTCCAAGACGTTATCATCAATGTGGATTTGCGGCAAACATACGCATTCCAATTCTGGTGTAGACAGAAGAAAACGAACAGTCTTGCTTGTGTTGATGATGAGTCCGAATATGGCCGCTGTGGAAGCGAGAGCCGAAATCATGTGTTGTAACTCATCCGCGCTGTGCGCAAACAGCGCACAGTCACCAGCAAACAGCAACATATGGATGGTCATCTCACACACGAAGTTTCTCACTCCGAAACAACAGATGTTCAGCAACCCACCATCCACACGGTGCTTCACGCGGACACCGTAATCATAAACAACATCACAAATACATCATTGCATGAAAGTAAATATTAAACAAGGCGAGGGCTAAGATACAGCCTTGCTTCATACCAGACAATATCAAAGTCATCCGAGGTTTGTCTACTCAGCTGTACCCTCGCCCACATACCATTGCGCAGACAGGTTATTAAACTTCAAACTTACTTGGACAACCAGATCTATCTTAATAATGCAGTCTGAGTGTAGACAGCGCCTAAAAGTAGCATCGAGCAATATCCTCAGCAGCTGCAACGTGCGTCTATACACAGTTTTCCAGAGCTCAAAGGACTCCTTATGCTGGAGGCGTTTGGCGTAGCATTCCATCTGCTTCGTCTTCTCCGTTCACCATGCATTTTTTATGTGACGGAGCACTCAATTCAATGCAGTTGAATTTTAAGAAAATGACTTTCCTTCTCGCAATTATCAGGGTCCGCCACATGTGCAGCGAATGCTGTCTTCTTCTCACACACCGATGCGCCAATGGGCGCATCAGGCCACATACAGTTTGCGCTCCCGATTGTTTCCTCGGTAGCAGCCGTCACATGCTCACGAAAGTGGTGTCACAGTTCGCTGACTGAGGCAATAGAGTCGACATCGTAAAGGCTGGTATCCATTGCATTCTCCAGTTCCATGCTCTTCCCAGCAGTAGCTATTGAAGGTACATTAATCTTCTACCGATTCACGTTAGCAGTACAACACAGATTTGTGAAAATATATGTACAAGTTGGTTCGCTCAGTGCCACACTCAACTCCAAGTAGTATATGTGTCATGCTGGTGTGCGATGACATCGCCGAGCAGGTGAGAGTGACCACTCCGTTAGTGCGACCAAGTTGCTATATCACTCGCACTCAGTGCAAACCGAGTGTTCGTGATCGTCAGGCCGTGAGTGGCACACAGTGAGAGCCGCCTGCCACCGTTCGCATTCACTGCGGACCAATAACATCTGTCCACACCCATGCATCACGCTCAACGTGCGCGTTGAAATCACCCAGCAGAAATAGTCGGTTGCTCCTGGGCCCGGACAGTAGCAAGGAGGATAACTGAGTGTAGAATTGATCACGCGTCATCGGGATAACACATGGGCCGTACGTGCTAATAAAAGTGGCAAACTTACCTCTTCCCAGTCGAAAGCGAACAGTCATCCGTCGCACGCTGATGCCAGTCGACTCACCCACCAGCTGGCCAGTTAGGCGGTCGGATAGTGGAGATCCGACCCCATGTTGATGTGGTGCTGAGATGGCGTTTCCCACGCAGTAGAATGTGTAACCAGCACCAGCCTCATGCAGTTTGCCCTGGTCAGCGAGCCGAGGTTCGCTGAGTGCGGCCATGTTGAGCGCGTAGCGAGCGAGTACCATCGCTACTAGTGGAGTGCGTCGCTAGGGGCACTCACTCGAGTTCCGGTCGTGTAGTGTGCACACGATGTTCAGTGCTTTGCGCGGAGGCACAAAGTTGCTACAGAGAATAACCGCACGAGTGGTGATCTACTTTGGAGGAATTACCGGGGTAGGTGAAATAGGAACGGGGAGAGTATGTGCAGGAGAAGGAGAAAGAAGGGAGGCTCTAGTTCGCTGGATACAGCATATAAGGAGAAGCTCTTACTAATGCCACTGCGCGATGGCTGATTCGGCATGGAATTACCATCATTCGCGTGATTCATACTTGGGGGTTAGTCTAGGATACTGTCAGAGCGTCCATGCCTGACAGAAGAATGACCCGGGTCCTCAGCCAAGGCCTTCGTTGAAATGTACACCCGAAAGCCAGCGGGCCAAGCGCCTTGAGTCAGTGAACCAACTCACGCGGAATTGTTTCCTGACTGAAGAAGGGTTAAACATAAACTACGTCCACGAGGATGAGTCCAAGACATGTGCTCACGGCAAACATTTAGAAGCATCGGATCAATGATCTGTCAGGATCCCGCCACCACAAGCCTCAGCATGATGTATATATATATATATATATATATATATATATATATATATATATATATATATATATATATATATATATATATATATATATATATATATATATATATATATATATATGGCTGGCGGCATCCGGTTTCGGATTTCCCTGTCACTGTGGTCAGCCACAGGACGCCTGCGCCTACAGAGGGACCATGGGTGGCTTGCGCTGTACCAACCACAGCTCCAACCACACACCCATATCCAGTGTAAACCCGAAGGAATAAGACCGGGAGGCATGTGAATGGGAGCCACGTTTCATCAACGGGGCCGGCCCACACTCCTTCACAGGCAAACACAAGCACGCTGTATTTGGGGAATCAACCGCACACAAGGCGGTCGCTGGACCGTAATCCGCTCCACACTGAGTGCATGGAACCACTCTTCGAGCCTAGCACGGCCACAAGCACCGTGCACCCCGTCCCCTCCAGCAACGACCAACTGTCTCCTGGAGCCAGTATGGACGAGGTAGTGGGTAATAGACAGGTAGGCACCTTGTCAACATGCACATCAAGCGCAGCCACATCGGGGATATCAAGCAACAGCCAATCACTTGAAACGACAAAATGAAATGAAATAAATCCAATAATGTCTACAGATACGGTGGCATAACCCTTCACTAAATTAGCATATGAAGTAATCTGGTTAGCAATGAATCCGCGATAAGGAAAAAGAATGTCCACAGGTTACTCAAAAATGCTAAAAATGCAACAAAATTACCGAAGATAAGCGCAATTAGCGTAAACAACGTGGCCAGCTAATAGAAGACTATCCAGATAGGCAAAACAAACCAAATAAACTGGAATGAAATTTATGCAGCTTAAAGAGACCTAGTATAAGTGTAAGTTGGTTTAGCCCAACTGCAGTGAAGAAGCATCAAGAATGCAACATCAGCCTCAGCATGGGGCAAGATATATATATATATATATATATATATATATATATATTATCGTGATAGGTTCAAAGCGTGGTTCCATGCATCCAAGATGGAACGGACTACGGCGCAGCCAGCACTTGGTGTATGTCTGGTACGCAGTATTCCCCAAATAGTCATGAATGCTGCTGTGCATATTAAAGGTTTGTGGGCGGGCTCCGTTGATGAAACGTGGCTCCCATCCACATGCCTGCCGGTGATTTTCTTCCGGGCGTGCGGATGAAGCCACACACACGATCTCTCCGTAGGCGCAAGTGTCCGGTGGCTGTCCTATGGAGGCCACATTGGCAGGTGAATCCGGAGAAGGATGCTGCTAATCTATTTATATTGGAGCCTGCACAATTATTGACATCAAAAGACCTCCATATTTACCCTCTCTCAATGTGTTGCACAATTATAACTGACATGTGGAGGCTTGAGTGAATGAGTCTGTTTCAACGATCGCACAAGCACACAAGAAAGAAAAGGAAACATAGGTAACATACCGCCTAGGGTTAGTATCCACTAAGGGGCTGTAAGTAGAGCAAATGGAACATTGTAGAGAATGGCAACACAGCAACCTGAGTCGCGGAAACGTACTCACCGCTCCTTCCACGCCCACACTTCCTGGACAAATGCGTCGCGACCCATTATAAGACGAGGATTTGTGGAATCAGCAGGCATACGTTTCATTAGTTCTCGTTCGACGACAGTGTGTGTGGCAATACCAGCATGATCCAAGCCAGGAATCCATAGTACAGAATATCCTTGCATTCGGTAGCTGAAAAAATGAGGAAACATACGAAACAAGACGAGGTTCATAGTATAGTCGTCGGCGAAGTGGGCCGCATAAATAATGGAGCTGACCGTTGTACGATGACCTGCGCGTTTTTATGAAAAAAATGATCAGAATACGACGTAAGGCAGTACCGACGCTTCACTGCCGCGCAACCATCACCAGTAGCACATGCGCAAAAGATAAGGCGAAGGTCGCCCGGTCCCTACGTAGGCTCGAACCCGCACCCTCAGATTACATTGCAAGCTAGTAATCCTTAAGCCTACGGACCGGCGCCTCTTTACGAAGTGGTAAGTGACAGTGGACTGTCATCCCAGGAGATTAGGAAGTCCTTCTCACCGGATAAAAGTTATGGATAAAATTTGTACAAAGTAACTTTCGTTAAACCCCTCAGTGTGCTTTAGGAGTGGTGGTGATGACGCGCTCTACGCAAAGTTCCGTTGTGCGAGATAACAACTTATGGAATGCAGCATTTTAGCGAAGCAATCGATGATGATAATCGACTGAGTGGTATAGATTTCGGAATGATTTGCTTAAAAATACCAAATCGCAAAGGGAAATCGGGCACAAACGATGTGAATAGGAAAAAATAACGATATGGTATAACAGACTGGCCAAGAGTTTGGCGGAGCACAAAACACACATATATCAAGGCAGTGCAGGTGGTAAGTTAACAAAATCAGCATGTGTATGCGGAATGCGGTGCCTTTGCTAGTTATGACCCATGCCGGACAAAGTTATTGGCCTAGACTATGTTTATTAGGCACAGACCTGCACAAGTCAGCCATAGCGCGCGCGGATGAAGTCAAATTAAGGGAGAAATTTCTACACAAGTGAGCCGAACAACACAACGAAAGGCCCAACCACAGTAGTTACTGCGACCGCATCGCATGAAGCACGCTGCTGCCTATGATCGGCTTACCAGCGAGCGAGGGCATCTTGAACAGCGCAGGTGAGCGCATGCCCAATATGAAGTGATCCTGTGACATTGGGAGGCGGTAGAAGCATACTGATGACCGGTGCCGAAGGATTTCTGGCAAGCTACGGAATAAGAAATGGAATAAAGAATGAAGTGGTCGACGGAGTTGCAAGTGATATGAGTCAACCAAAGGGAAAAACGCGTAACGATTGGAAGACACACCATACATTCTGGTTTTGCTATCTGACAGTCTTTCCATAGTGTTTGACACAATCGGGGGTCCTCCACCAATTTGGGATCGTACGTAGGCAGAGTTTCTGCGAAAATATTGAATGGAGACAAGAAGGTGTGAAATGCATCACTTCGTGTAAAACCGAGCCGCAATCTGCAACCAATGGAGGTAGCGTGATTATGTCAAGTGAGGTTTAAAAGTGTTCCAAAGTTTTATCGTATCTCATAGTAAATGTAAGGCGAACAGACTGAGTGAAATATAGAGTAAACGTTCCAAATTGGGGACATTAAGGTGACAACGGAGAATTCCGGTGTAGATCTTAAGGTATGCAAACCACAAAATCTAGACCACGCACTGTGGCACAATGGTGTAGACCTCTGTTGGTGAATACAAGAGGGCAAATAAGCGTAAAAAGTTACAAATTTAAAATGGCCGTAGCATGATGCCAGACGGCCTAGAAAAGCAAACATATTATAACTCTGAGTGCCCTGAAAACGTTTAATTGGAAATAATGAATGACGTACTCAAGAGGTTCCAATCAGGTGTCGCTGTGTTGGCCAGTGGATGTGCTGCGGCTGTGGAGTCTGAGAAATTGAGAACGGTGGTCGAAATAACACAGCGCTCTTCGAAGCGCAACAGAGAAGGCGTACAATGCCCATATCCGAAAAATCTCAGAAACAACTTAGATGTAAGAGAGGACTAAAACAAACGAAGAAATGAACAGAAAGGGATAATATGCGACGAATACACATCAGGAGTTGGGTGAAATTCAGGGGGAAAATGACCACATCTGCTCACTGTAGGTCCGATATCAAATGATAAAGGATTATGGAGTCATATAGCACAAAGACACTGCAAAATAAGGGATGCACGACAAGTAAACAACATTGCAGTCTACCTTTGTGACAAGATGATAGAACACGAGATCCCTTTCGAAGCCACTTGCACAGGTCAAAAGTGGGTGAATAATGCGAGGGGCCAGAAGTCCACAATTCCAGTACCGTTGGCAGATTAGTCAGTTAACTACAGCTTAGGAACATACCAGGTGTAGTATGAGACAAGAGAATTTGAAATAATGATTTATCACGGGTTAAAAGCAAATGCCTGATACCTCCCGTAGGATGGTTATGGTGAATACGAAAAAATCAAAATATATGTGAGTCATCGACTGAGTGTATGTGGAGATGAGCGCATTCATAACTAACGATAGTGTAAAATAAAAACTATGGGTGAAACTAAACGGAAAGATTGTCACGAAGGTGAGACGGCTGACTACGATGGTGCATTCTAGCAGGCTGCAGCCTAAGGATGTGACGCGAATTCGAGACGTCTGTCTGGATGATACGGGTTGCTACCCGATCGACGGTAACACGGCTGAGTCACGCCGGAAGCTGATGAAATCAAATCGCCATCATCGCATGATTGCTATGAGGCGGACGTGATCGTACCTATAGCCAGACAGTCAAGGCCGCTACCAAGGTCGATTCTGCCCAGACAAGAGATGTGAGTCAGCTCAGTGATAGCGGTGAGGTAAGCGCATGTGCCCTATAAAAGTAACCATGTCTTGGGCCTAATATACTTCGATCTAGCAGGCTCGTTGTTCTGATTTGCTGCGGATTGGTTGGCGTGGCAGAGAGCAGAGGGAAAAGCAACGTTACAACAAATGAATACACAGGGTGCAGTGATCGTTGACGTAAAGCGTGGGGAAGGTGATAAATGGTCGTTAACTTGGGTCCATACGACACATAAATCCTGTTGTAGGCCATGATTAAGGTAATCCACAAAAGCGAAGTTTAGGTAACGAAGTGCTGGGAGCTAAGAACAACAGCAATCATCTTTTGAAAAAGTTCAAAATAATGGAGGATACAAGTGAGTTTGGGAGTGCATTCCAGGGTTGGCAAACTCGAAGGGAAAAGTCATTTCATCGACGCTCGATACAGGTAGATTGTTCACACAATTTTAAACAGCTACCCCTGAGTAGCGGCTAGGTTTAAGCAATCGGCGGCATCCGCCAATATGAGATCACTGCGCAGCCTCCGGTAGCGTCCGCTGAAAACCCCTGACAACTTCAGCCTTCACTGGTATGAGCAACTGCGTAGGTCCCAGACAGTCTTTGTTGCTCTTCGTTGTGGTGCCTCTAACGCCTCTCTAGGTCGCGCTTCAACCAAGGCTGCCAAGCTTAGATGACGTATTCAACGTGAGGGCGAACGTAGGAATTGTGCATCATTGGGAAGATTGATGGGTCAAATTTCCCGATTGCACTTCGCAGCATGCCGACGTGCTGATTGCCTCTGTACCAGCAACCTCAAGCTGTTTTGAACAGTTGAGGTCACTAAGAATGAACACAACAAAGTCACGTTTCTGGTCTACAATCCGTGTGCCCCAGGCAAACAGGTGTATTCACGTCTGGCGTAATTGCACAACGCGACATTTGTCTACGTTAAATTGTAGGGCGTTCTGAACTGACAAGTACGAAATGTTGTTAAGATCGTACCGGAGCCGTCCCTGGTCGTCGGGTCCTCTGATCGCTAGCTTTATCTTGATAACATCTGCGAAGAATAGGAAATCGGAAGCAAATGATATGGCTAGATCGTTTATGAACATCAAGAATAGGCAAGGCTCAAGCACTGAGCACCACACTCCACATCAATTGCATTGGACAGATTCCCGGACCCTCACATCCAACTGACGTTCGTGTAGAAAATTGCTAATCCAACTCAGGATCGGTTCGCCAATGCCGTAATTCCGAAGCTTCTGAAGAAGAATTCAATGGTTCAACCAATCCAACGTTTCTGAGAAGTCCAAGTAGATGACGTAGAATCCTGCTCCATCCTCAACGGCTTCAGTTCAGCTATTACGTGCAATAAGTAGATTAGCAGTGTATGGAACGCTTTTGACGCAAGCTATATTGCTCTGGGGGTATTAAGTTGTGGCTTTTCAGATACTGCATCAGCGAGGACTGATTCCACAACTTTGCATTGTAAAGTAAGTAGCGTTATTGAAAGGTATTTTGTAGGGTCAGTGTCACTACTTCCGTTATGAATAAGAGTGGTAACCTCACACTTCCATACTGGTGGAAGGGTTCTCCCCTAGACATCGCTGATAGAAAACAGACAGTGGTTCTGCTACATCACTGGCTACTGCCTACATGGCCTTCGATCGAATGTAATCGATTTCAGAAGAGCTGTGGATACACAAGAATAACAACTTCTACGAAGGTGATGCTGCATAACCCCGAGGGTGAAGTAAGATAAACGAGGAGAGTATTTGGGCTTGTTATTTGTGTTGGGAGCAATGAAACCGCGGAAGATTGGTTGCATCCATTGATGTTCGTGTGCAACCAACCGGTGCTTGAATTCCGCGCTTCAGCTTAGGAAAGCCATTAACGTGACTGTCTATAAATAAATAATGTGTCAGCTATACGCCGCAACAGCGCTTAGCTACCACGCGAGCACCAGCAGTCGCGCGGCCTGAGTATACCGCGAGAACGCCCAACCCTACGCGGATTCGAACCGGCCACCTTATGGTTTCAAACCAGAGGCGCCTGTCTAGGAGTTTGCGGTTCATGCAGAATTACTTCATTAAGTCGTGATGATGCGTAATCTAGTGCTCGCAGATCAAATGCACACAGAAGTTACTATGTGCCACGTATGCAGTCCAGGCGTCAGCATTTGGGCGGTCCTTGTGAGCTCACCGTGCCAAATCATTCAGAGACATACATTTATGTGTTCCGCTCCTCAAAAATGACTTATATTCGACTTTACATTAGAAGGACTTCTGTTCCGACGCGTGCACTGCCAGCGTGCCAAAGTTCGTTGTGAACGTTT